GTCGCTGTTGCTGGCTGAAGAGAATCTGTCGGTGAATCACGGAAAGATTTTACGCTACCCAAACCAGGCCATTCCCATTTTGGGTCGAGCGGAAGGTGGGGAATTTGACCACTTGGTGCATCAGCTCCTTCGAACTGGCCTTCCGCTCTGTCCTTCGTCCTCTCAGGCTTTCGGGGAACCACTCCCCTTTGGCCCGCTAAAGACACCGCAGAAAGACTTAATTACCAGCCATTTGGGATCCCCATCAGATCCCCAACATTCCCCGACTAAGAAAAGCATCCACGGTCCCAAGTGTGTGGTGCATATCCAAGGTCTGAAGAAGCACTGCCCTTGCATAATGTAATAATACATATTATATATTATATATAACTATACGGTAGTATTGTTCCATGGAATCATATGAAATGATTCTGTACAAGTCGAAGCCAGCAAGAAGGAGGTGCTCCGATGTGCTCGGTTTCGACCGCGGTTTCGACCGCGGTTTCTGAGGCGGCCAATGAGCCGGAGATGACTTTGGAGATGGAGCGACACTGAGATGAAACCCCGACCGTTCTTTTGCGGCCGGCCGACTGGTGGAAAAGGGGTGTGTGAACATAGCCATTGCACATGAAGGACTTGGCCCAGCCATTTCAACCTGGAAAGCAAGCACTTCAGAGATTTAGATAGATTTAGTAGGTGATTGCTTGCCCCTTTGCATCCTCCTATCAAGTGCCCCAATCTGCTCAGGTCTTTGTAAGCACAGGTGCCTGTTGGGAGCTCAGTTGATGCACTCCAAGGATTAGGGCTCGAAGATCAGCTTCGTTTGGGTGGTTTCTACAAGTTTTCAATGTGTTTCACCAATCTTCTCAACCCACATGGGTACAGACAGGGGAGATTTGTCAACGGTTGGGGCAGCGGCACTCCTCGACGGCGAGCCTGACAGCTCGACCTGGAAAGACGTCCCCCCAAAATGACCGGAGAAAAGGACCAGCTAAGCTACCACTTCGTGATGCCCGTGATTTTTTTATTCTATCAAATGCCAGTCCTTTGACTCCATTGAAAACCGTTTTCGGGGGATAATTTGTGAAGACACTTGCAGATTTTCACGATTTTCACAAGCTGTGGAAGCTGGCCACCCAACCGGAAGACCTAGGCAGTGCCCCACGGATGTTGGTGAACGTGGGCGCTGGCCGCAAGCTGAAGGCAGAGAGGGATACCTCTGGTGCTTCTGCAGGGTCTGAGTTCTGGTGCTTCTGGTGAATGCATTCCTTTGCCGCCAACCAGCTTGCCAGCTTGCAAAACAACCAGCTTGCCAACTTGGAGATTGTGAACAACCAGCTTGCCAACTTAGAGATTCCATCAATGACAGATCCAATTGTTTGGGATGGAAGCTTGAACAAGAAAAACAACTGCCATCATTCCGTACCTCCAGATCTTTTGCACCTCATATGATCGTGGCTGTCCTCACCGGAGGGTCAACTCTGCGCGTGCATGGCTCTTCGGCCATGTGGCGTCGCGTTGCTTCTTGACCGAATACACCGTCATCGACTGACGCCTGTCCGGTGCTTTCGTGAAGGACTTCGCGTGTCTCGTCACGTGGGTCTGGCGGTGTACACACTGTAGACTTGAAACAAAAGAAAGACAAACGTTATCTTTGTTTTCCAGAAGGGTGCAACTCTCGGTGTGAAAAAACTTCGGGGTAGTGGGCCCTGGCGTTATGATTTCCTGTAAAACGTCGACGTTGATCTGGTTCAGGGCTCTACACATCACCATTTCAGCATGGCTCTACACATCTCCATTATGGTTTCTATTAAGGATTATGGCTCTACACGAAGGTCACACGAAGGTCATGGCTAAGCCATTGGCAGTTCTCTCCCTTGGTCTCTGTAGGTCTGGACCCGTCAGGTCATTGAAACACACGTGAGCCTCGATGGGCGCGGGCGCTCAGAGAATGGCCGATCTGGCACGGCAGTTGATGGTCTTGCTGTCTTAGCATGTCGTAGTGGCACCCCAAATCCGAAATGGATTATATCATTTCAAGTCTCAAAGGCTGATTGCTGACTTTGTACAACACTTACAGAACAGGGAATCGAAAGAGGGAACTAGTCATACGAATCACTTTCAAGGGTTGGATGACTTCAGTATTGGTCTGGAAGGTTTGGCCTTGAGTTTTACGAATTCTTGACTTGTGCAGTGATGCCCACGGTATTGGACATGTTAAACATCTCCTGCCTACTCAATCATGGCAAACATTGTGGTATTGGGTGCTACGGGGACGCAGCCAAACTTGCAAATCTTACAGAATTACGCGCCCATGATTCTCACTTTCCAATTCACCGCAAAACGCCGTTTTGAAGGCGGGCAAGGGAATTTGGTCCATCATCATCCAATGCCTGTGTTAACCCGTCGATACGTAAAGGTCTAAATGGTTGTGTTCCTTCTTTGAGATGGACTGTTCTTCTGAAGACGTTTGCTTTCGTGGAACTAACTATCCCACAAGGCTCGCTTCCCTACTCCGAGACAGCTGCTGAACAGGTTTGAACGTTTGTTTGCATGATGGAAATACATTTTGGCTGACATAAAGGGTGCTAAAGGGAACCCTCACAGGGCTCTACTTGCCTTTTCAACCTAAGTGCATATGTGTAGGTTTAAGTCTAAGTCCCGAGAACGCCCAAGCAGAATGAGTCAGCGACTAGGTGTGCTTGGCTGGTGGTAGGTTGAGACAATCACTTAGATGTTCAGGTTTTGTCATCCTCCTTGCGCGTGTCGGGCCTGCCATGCCTCAAGAGAGGCTGACCCATAGACCCTACACCCAAGACACGAGTATAAGGCAGCGTCAGCGTATTAGTTTTTTCAAGCGTTTCAAGATTCAAGCGTGCACACTTTAGTGCACACTTTAGATTCATCCTGCCCGTTTGGATCCGTTCTGTTGCCTCCTTCATGGTCACTCACCCGCAACGCCCATCCCGCGTTGCGGCTTCGTCAGAAATGACACTGCCCTCTGCAATGGCTTGTGCCGTGTCAGGGGGTCTCAGGAAGTTGGACGGTCGCGGGTCCTGCGGGTGTTTGATTTCATACTCTCGACTGTAGAGACTGTTTGGTTAGCATAGTTGGCGTGGTTGCTATTTGTAGAGAGGGTTGGTTTGGGCTACCTTCAGCTGTGTCCACCTAAAATGGTGTGCTTGGGACCACATGACCACACGGTGTTCACCTGGTCGCTGACATGTAGGGATGGGTCCGGAGCCTGGGTGCGCTGGTGCACCGCCATGTGTGAAGGTAGGTGAAGGGGTCCCGCCATCTGCCCACTTTAGAGATCTTACAGATGGACATCGGACCAATCCAGGTGCATAGGCCACATAGAAATTCGGCAGAACAGACAAGGTCCTTCTTCAAAGAGCATTTGGACGCCACGAAGCCAGTGATGTCATTTTCTTTGCGGTCGGAGACCTCTGACTGTGTGGCGTTCACAAGCTTCTTGTGTGGCGTTCGCTCCCTCCAAGCTTCGCTCTTCGTGGCGAACGAGAGGTTTGTTCAACATGTCTGTTCCTCCGGACCCATCGCCGTCCACCGTTGATGCCAAGGTCTAAGGCGATTGGTCCAGCCTTAAGGTCTGCAAGTGGACACTGACGGTGGACTCTCGAAGCCGAGCCCTCTATCTACATAAGTGTGTGCGCGCTTTAAAGCCATGTACTTGTGCATAGCGGAAGATGCATATGTATGCATTTGGAGATGAACATTCTGTTCAGCTCCGTCTTCCATAAGTACATGGCTTTACGTCCATTTTCTCGAAAAAACCCATCCACACTATCTTCTGGTACTTTCATGTACTTCGACCTTTTCACCGTCGTCCCACGAGGTGCTTGCAGCTGAGGATGCTGAGGCTGGTGCGTGTTTTCTTTTTGGGTGCTAGAAGCCATTCTGAGAGACCGAGCTTGACAGGAACTGTTCAAGGAAACCAAACGCCCAGGAAGGCAGAAGGCACGAAACACTTTGAAGGCATGTAGTGCTGGGAGGACTTGATCTATCTTGATCACAGTATCTCCCCACCAATTGCGACTTTCCAATAGTTCTAGTCCCAGGCCATCCCGAATTATGAGGAAGGAAATCATGCAACAATGCATTTGTCCTTTACATAGTATTGAGATGCCCATAACACGCATGCCTTTCAAACCGTTGCCTAGAAATGCGAGTCCATGCACCACCCGAGACCTCCCCACCTCATCTCTTCACCCTCCGTTTCGCGCGCGTGCCGGCCGGCCGTTTAGCGCGCGCGCGTGCTGCCGCGATGAGTTGGTCGGCACCCGGAACCAGGTGCAGCATGAGGTGCTTCAGCAGCAGTCCGAGTCTTCGCGCTTTGTCCAGAGCATCATCGCCGAGGCGCCAGTTACGAGTCCGGGGGGGGTGGCCGAACGCGACGCCGCGAATGAGGGTTAGAGTGAAAACGAAGTGACCAATCCGCCATGGGCTGATTGGGTCCACCAGATCCCAAGAACTGGATGCTTTGGTCGGTCATGGGGCCCCTCAGATTTGGATTGTAAAACCTCATCATATATGGGGAGTTTCTTGTTCAACAAGAGTCACATTCGGAATTGGATTGGGATGGGATTCGATCGGATTCGTCGCGGGCGAACACTTCTGCAGCCAGTTCTGCTCGAGAAGTGAGGGCCGTTGAGACGGTCTTCGATTTCAGAGCCTGAAGATGCCGTAACGGTGATGGTCACATTCTTGAGGTGCTGGATACTTCATTCCTGGTGCTTGAATGTGCTTGACACATTTCCTATGTTAGCCTACGTAGCATGGACACGACAAGATACTGGTGGAGTTCGGCATGTGGAATGGCCACATGAACGAAACACGAACCCCCAAAAACACGACATCTAGTTCCCCCCCCAAAAAAGAAGTTTCGTGGGACACCTGTCATGGACCTTCATTTTTTGTTTAATTTTCTCCAACGAGCTCCGCCCATAGCATAAGTTTCCACTGTCAACTCGTGAAATCCACCGTCTGCCCGGCCAGCGCCGATGGCAATGGCGGCTGCTTGGCTTGTTAATGGACTGTTTTTTTTTTTCAGTGACGGCCCAGACAGGCCACGCACAGACAGTGGGACGAAAATGGAAGAAATCCATCAGAAGAGAGCCATGTTTTCCACTTGATCCGTGCAATCCACGCGCCGAGAGTAAGAACAAACCTGCGGCGTGTGGTGCGGGATGTTTGTTCCTCGAACCAAACGCGAGGAGATCAAATGGACGCAGTCGGAAGAAGACATTACACTGAAAGTGGCTGTCGACGCATCCACCAAGAAGGAAGATGTGAAATTCAAGGCGCCCAACGAAAGACAATCGGACAGAGCTGCGGCTCCAGCTGAATGAAACTGGATCCGGTGTTGGAAGACATGTCAAGTGGTTGGAAGCAATCCACCAGCAAGCTCAGGTCCCAGGTTTCTTTGGTACTCACTGACTCCTTCTTTAAACTCGAAAAGTGCAAGGGCTTTTTAGGCCTGAGGCGCATCATGTAAGGTAATTCGACCGTCATGCGAAAGGAAAGCTGTTGTGTTCTATGGTTGGGGCTTGATTGTGCACTCCTATACATCCTTAAGCCATCTGATAGCCCTTTGATTCAAACGGGATTCATTTCGCTTCAGGACTAGACTATATATATATATTGTATATTATATATTGTAAAACTCGCTAGTTTGGATGCTGTCTCACACGTCCCGCTCGGTTCGCATGGTTCGAACGTCCAAAGGGCGGGAGGGAGGCAACTAGCATTTGGAAAAGGCGAGGCGGCCTTTGGTTAGTAGGAACAGGGTTTCCTAAGATCCTAGGGTAGAGATCAACATTGGTAGCGGAGCCTCCGCAAGGAGGCATAGGTCCTTTTGGTTTGGGAAATTCACCTAGGGTAGGTTCTCAGTTACATTTGGTCGATTTGAAAGTTTTGTTGCACGACAATTTACCCTCGACTGTGAACTGCCATGGCCGGGGCATCAGCAGCCGCGGAAAGCGGCACCGAAGAGAGATCGGGACACATTTGGAGCATCCTCCCAACCTTTGATCCTTCGATCGATGATCCCAAGGAGTACTCCGACAAGATCCGTTTTCTGCATTCAATATGTCCACCAAAAGACAAACCCATGCTAGCGCCCAGACTCGCATTACTGATGAAGGGGACGGCATGGGCACAGGTCAAAAATCTCGATGGTTCGAAGTTGTCAGATCCTGAAGGTGGAGTTAAGCTGTTACTCAGTGCAGTATCTTCATGGGAGGAATCTGCTGAACTCCAAACCTACGAAAAGTTTGAACGTGCTTTGTATCGAGTGGTGCAAAAGCCAGATGAGAGTGTGTTCTCCTACGTCAACAGGATGAACGTGGCCTTCAATGAGATTGCCAATGTCACGTTGCAGGAGGTACAGGCCTTCATCATGCTCCGTCAGAGTGTTTTGAATGGGGAAGACAAGAAACGGGTGTTATCCATGACCGGAGGTGAACTCAAGGCCAAGAAAGTCGAAGCTTCGATGCGACAACTGGCCCCGAAGATCCTGGTCGGCAACACCGGCAGTGAAGGTAAGAAGAAAGTCTACCCGGTGAACCTGATAGAAGAGGATGATGACATCAGTACTCCGACCTTCGTGACTGAGGAGGAATATGTGCCGGACGAGGAGACGGTGCTCCAGACACTCATTGAGAATGGTGACGAAGATGCATTGATGGTCTCCGAGTTCGAGGACCAGCTGATCGAAGCGTGCCAGGACAATGCGGATCTGAGCATGTGTTTCTCTGCCTACACAGAAGCTCGTGGCAGGATTAGAGACAAAATTCGAGCACGAGGATTTTGGCCTCCCATCAAAGGGAAGGGCAAAAAGGGTGCGAAGAAAGGAACTTGGACTTCGAAAGGAGGTTTGAAGAAGAGACAGTCGTTGGCCGACAGGATTGCCAACTCACACTGTCGCTTGTGTGGTGCCCGCGGTCATTGGCGCCAAGAGTGCCCCAACAAGGGATCTTTGACAGGACCCAATGCTAGCGCTGCTGAGATCCATGTCTCGACCTTGGATGGTATGGATCCTGATTCCGAGAACCAGGAGATCTTTGAGAGGCTGCCCATTTCTCTTGAGCAAGGACTGCCCAATTGGTGGCCGATGGTCAACTCCCGGGTGACGATTCAGGAAACTGAGAATGAGATGATTCAGAACATGACGCCTGGCGAGGACGTGCTCTCGGATGTGATGAACAGCCAGGCGGGAAGAAAGTCCTCCCTCCCAAAATTTTGGGGATTCGAAAAGAGAAACCCGTGTTAATGAAGAATTCATTTATGCTGCTCTCACCTTAGACCAAGTGAAACAGAAACTCTCGCGGGGTTTGAGAGGTCATGTGTTTGAGAAACGCCTCAGGTGTGACTCCCCTTTTGAGCCGGTGTTTTTTGTTGATCACGGATGTGTAGCCATTTTGGATACAGGAGCGAGTAAATCCGTGATTGGAAAAAAGAGGTTTGCCGGACGAGTTTAGGAAGAAGATCTTTTGGCAGAAGTCAGAGACAGTGTTTCGTTTTGGAAACAATGGAACATTGTCAAGTTTAGGTGCTGTGTTCTTGCCGTTCCGACGTCAGTGGTTGAAGATTGAAGTTGTTGATGGAACGACCCCCTTCCTGCTATCGAACGCATTCCTGAAAGCTGTGACAGCAGATATCTGCACATCGAAGCGTTTGTTGAGCATGTTTCAAGGAAAGGTAAGTGTTCCGTTGGAGGTGAGTGATAAGGGTTTGTTTCTTGTTGATTTGACAAAGATTTTGAAACATGCACAGAAGAATCTTTTGCACGGAGATACGTGGGAGGTCGTCACGAACTTGACTGATGAAGGAACTGTAACTAGAGAAGAAAGGACACAAGAGAAACCACTTGACACTTGCACGGCACCGGCAGCAACCCAACCATCGAGCACAGTCGAATCGACATCTCGCAGCCCAACATCTCATGGTGCCCAAGAAGGTGAACCCAGCCTATGTGGCCACATCCAGTGTGGACATGCCTCTTCCGTTTCCGGAAGACCACACGTTGAGCATGTTGCCAGATCACGACGAGACCAACATCGTGAAACCACCGGGCATTCAGACCCTCAGGCAATGGGGGAAGAGATCCTGGCAGGAGGCAAGCGTGTGGGAAAGACCTTTGCCGAAGCTCGGGCCCTCGACGCGAGCTATGCTCACTTCATGGTGAAGAAGGGAGACTGCACCTCGGCCTGGGCGAAGAGCTTCCACAATTACCTGAAGGCAATGGAACAAGTGTCAAGCCGCCCTCAGGCAGATCAGAGGCCCATCATGACAGCATCAGCGGCCGCGATGGTGAAGAAGAATTGGGCCAAGAATGGAGCAATCGCAACAGACTGGGATGTGGTGGACGAATTGAAGAGTCAGCAGAGCGCGGAAGTTCCCAAGGGAATCACGTCTGTGGCAAGTTGGTCGAAGGCAAAGAGGGGACCTCCAGCCAGCGGCGATCCGTGGGCCATGCAGACCGAGATGAGCTACGAGGCCAGTCTGAGGGTGGAGCAACTTCAGACTCAGATTGCAATCTTGCAAGACGAGATGTCCCGACTCCTGCCCTCAGCCGAGGAAGATGCCTAACCAAACCAATAGAGAAGTCGAGTTATGACAGCCAGGAAACCATGACAGCTCAGACCCAAGCCAGCGCAGACACTTCTATGAAACACTTCTTTGAACAGGAGTTAGCTAACCTGGTTCTGAAGATTGAGCACCAACTGGAAGAACTGGCGCAACACTCGGCTGACATACCGATACGACAACATGCACCACGACTTACCAATTCGAAGAGACTGGACATCCTGGAAGTGTTTTGTTTTCCGGACTCACAGATCACAAACATAGCCACAAAGATGGGCCTGACAGCCCAACGGTTTACACTTCAGGATGGTGATCTCCAGACACCAGAGGGACAGGCAGCCCTTTGGAAGATCATTGAAGAACGACGACCCAGACACATCTGGGCTTCACCAGATTGCAAATAGTGGGGAAACTTTGCACGAAGGAACATGGGAAGAAGCAAACAACTGAGAAAGACAATTCTGGAAGGAAGAAACCGGGAAAGAACCAACCTGAGCCTATGTGAGGAACTCTACTTGTATCAGATGCAATGTGGGGGTCATTTTCATTTGGAACAACCTGTAGGCTCGGAAATGCTCGCTCGTACAACCGGAGTTGGAACAGGTTTGATTGGGAACCCTGACAACCATTTTTGAAATGTGTGAGGTAGGACGACTCAACTGGAAAGGAGAATCGTTGAGAAAGAGGACAACGATTCTGACGACCTCCCAACAAATGCATGAAAAATTGGACAGCAGGTATTGTAGCAAAGACCATGAACATAGACAGATTGCAGGTCAGGTGAAGTCTGATGGCATCTGGATGCCTCTATCAAGCTTTGCTGCAAAATACACTGCAGGCTTCGCTAGAAATATCCTCGGCGTTGTACAGAACCATCCCGAAGTCATGACGGTATGGACGTGGATCCCGTGTTGATAGGTGAAGTGTTAAAAAGACGTCGACTTTTTGCAAAACAAGCTCAGTCTTCAGAAGATCAACCTTCCCAAGAAGAGGAATTGAAACGAAAGGAAAACCGTCGACACAGATTGCAGATGTTGTTTGAAGAAATTGAGAAGTTGGCACCCCGAGTAGGTTCAGTGGTTCTTCAACCAGAGTCAGCCGTGTTCCAACAAGCCAAAGAATTTTGTGAGTTTCGTTTGATTCATGCGGAAATCTGCAGGGGTACAGAGAGATTTCGGGTACCCAAGACTTCAACACCAGTGGAAAACCTTGATTTTCGGAAAGCCTATTCAGTGTGTAGGAAGTCAGGGGAAATAAAACAGGTTGGTGATGTGGAAGAATGGAAGAAGTTGTCTCAACGCCAAGAGATCAGGAAGGGGATCCCGGCAAAATTGACGTTTACATTGTTTGGAAATAGACCTGAGGACCCATTGGACAGACAATCTGCAGATGACTCGGAGACGTCGAAACTCGTAGGTCGTAAACGACAGAGCATGCATGAAGAAAGCGGACTAAACAAACGTAAGTGTGAAACACATGGTAGTGAACAACAGGGACGGAGTGACCACCCCCGAAACTGGACCGGGAACCCTAGGGGATGATGAAGAGGAAGAGTTCATTGAAGGAAAACCTCCCCGAAACTTAGCACGACATGGACCAGGGTCTTTGAGTTTCGGGAAAGATCAACAGAAGTGGTTACGACGAGTGCACCATCGTCTTGGACACCCGGACGCTGAGACACTACTTAGATACCTTCGATCGACCGAAGCCGAGCCTGCTGTGTTGGACGGAGCTAGAGATTATCAATGCGACGCGTGTCTCGAAGCCAGGAAAGGTTTCGACTTACCACAAGCAGGGGCCATCCATGAAGATATCGGGTTTAACCATACGTTGGGAATTGACGGAGTGACTTGGACCAATTCAAACGGAAGCAACTTTGAGTTTACCCATGTCATAGATGAAGGTACTTTGTTCCATGTAGCAAGCCCATTTGGAAGTGACTCAACATCACAATGGACATTTTTGGAGGAATATTGGTTCTCGTGGGCTGGATACCCAAAAGTGTTGTATGTGGATCCTGCTAGGGGTTATCTGAGTGAACAATGGATGGACAGGACGCAGGAAGTTGGGATTTCATTGGTGGTGTCCGCGCGAGACTCACATTGGCAACTTGGGAGAGTAGAGGCTCATGGTGGAGTTTTGAAAGGAATGCTCTCAAGAATGGATGCCGAGAACCCCATCAACGATGCTGAAACTTTTAGGAAGGCATTGAATCAGGCATGTTTGGCAAAGAATACGTTGATGAGAAAGTCGGGTTATTCTCCAGAACAGGCTGTTTTGAGAAGGTCCTCACGTTTGCCAGGTTCGGTTTTGTCGGATGATGATTCTATCACACATGCTAAGGTGTTAGATGAAGGGCAAAACGTGTTCAAAGAAACCCTAGACATGAGAGAACCCGCCCGAAAAGCATTTATGCATATGGATAATTCCAACAGTCTTCGTAGGGTGATGCTTCGCCGCAGTTGTCCGGTTCGATCGGATTTCGAGGTTGGTGACCTAGTGTTTTACTGGAAACGAAAAGGAGGGAATATGCGTCGGGAAAGGGGACAATGGTTTGGTCCTGCTAGGGTGGTACTGGTTGAAGGACACGCACACCGCCTCGTTCGAGCAAGTCCTCAGCAGCTTCGTGCTGCATCAATGCGTGAATGGAAGGGAATCAAAGACAAAGAAGAGTTCAAAATTCCCCCAAAAGAGTGGACAAGAAGGATTGGTCACCAAGATTTTTTTGATTTGGATCCTGATGACCTTCTTGACATGGACACCCCGGAATACACACCCAGTGAACACCCCGGAGAGGCTGATGCTTCAGAGGAACAGATTGTTCCAGAACCGGAGGAAGGAGTAGCTGCTCCGACTCGAAGGGGATCAATGGATGAGGGTGAAAATGTACCAATGGACGGTGTAGAGGTTCCCATACCCGATGAACCAGATGATGAACTTTTTGGGGATACCGTGTTTTCCCAACAACACTTCTGCCAAGAGTACATGTGGGAAATGGACATCACTCCCGCGTTTTGTGTTGAACCAGAGCTTTTTGAAACGCCCGACGATTACATCCTAGCCGCAGTGAATGAACGTAAGAAGAAGACAGAGATCAAGTTAAAAGAACTGTCACAGGATGATCAAAAGCGTTTCGCTGTGGCTAAGCACAAGGAATTGCGGGCATGGCTCCAGCGCAAGACAATTCGGAAGGTCTCCCATGGGAAAACGGCCGAGCACGCAATTATGCGGTGCAGGTGGTTGTATGTGTGGAAAACACCCTCAGGGGATGAGCCACCGGAAGATCTATCAACAGAAGGAAAGAAAGCAAAGGCCCGGTTGATAGTGATAGGTTGGGAAGACCCTGAGTTGGATAGTGTTGTGAATGATGCCCCTACCCTCACAAAGGATGGTCGAATGGTGGTCCTTCAGGGGGTGGCAAGCCACAAATGGCCGTTGATTTCGTTTGATGTTTCAACTGCTTTTTTGCATGGAAAAGGTGATGGACGTCCTTTGGGACTCGTCCCTGTTCCAGAAATGCGCGATGCCCTGGGAATGAGTGAAACAGATCAGGTGCAACTGGATGGTGGTGCCTACGGCCGCATCGATGCACCTTATTTATGGTTCTGTGAGTTTAGAGATGAGCTCCTGTCACAAGGATGTCGGCAATCGCCACTGGATCCTTGTGTGTTCACCTACCATTCCAAAGATGGCTTTGAGGGCTGTCTGGGCATCCACGTGGATGATGGGATAGGTGGTGGAAGTGAAAAGTTTATGAAGATGCTGGCGAGAGTGGAAGCTCGTTTCAAATTTGGAGCCTTTGACAAAGGTGAGGTCACCTACACCGGAATCAGATTTCGCCAATGGGATGATTCTTCCATTGAGTACGACCAGGTTGAGTACATTGAAAAGATTGCACCTATTGTACTAGGTAGGGGTAGGAAGGATGACCCGAAAGCTTTGGTGACTGAAGATGAACGAACATCCTTTAGAAGTCTGATTGGTGCACTCCAGTATGCTGCAGTTCACAGCCGACCGGAATTGCAGAGTGAGGTCACTAGGGCGAAAGTGAAACATCTTGTCTTAGGGAACAGAGTGCTAGCAGAGGCTAAGCAGAACCGCGTGTCATTGATGGTTTTACCCATTGCACCTAAGCAAGTGACCTATTGTGCCTTTTCGGATGCTTCGTTCTCATGTACAAAACACACCACAGCACAGCAAGGGACCATTATCTTTGCAACTACCCCAGAACTGTTGGATAACCACTGGGGCAGTGGTTGCCCCAGTGGCTTGGTACAGTAATAAAATTCCAAGGGTGGTGCATAGTACATTGAGCAACTCAGCCGATCGATTGATGTGGATTCGTGTGTTATGGAAAACATTGATTGATCCCGAATGCGACTGGAGAAATCCGGAGAAGTTGCTATCTGAAGGAAATTTGGGCGGTTTGGTGACGGATTGCAAATCTGCATATGATCTTTTGACTCGTGCCGCCATTCCCCAGTGCACCGAACACCGAACCACGATCGAGTGTTTGCTGATAAGAGAACGACTGCGAAACAACGCAGTGGTTCGATGGATAAATTCCCAGGCGATGCTCGCAGATTGTCTAACCAAGACCATGGACAGCAGTGTGTTACGTGAATGTCTACGAACTGGCCGATATGCTCTTAGGGATGAGGAATTTTTGTTGAAAGAAAGACTGTCTGCTCGAGAACGACTTAAGTGGATGAAACAACACCGACAGGAGAAAGACAACAAAGGCTTCGAAGATGCCATGTTGGTGAAACAGTCCGGCAATGTACAGCATGATTGCGATTTTTGGAGAAGGGGGCCGGAAGGAGAGGTGATCCGAGTGCATGTTGTCCCAAGATATCAGCTATATACACCAGTGGGGTCAGAGGATTGTCCTGTAGATCTTAGGAAGCTTGAGATGTACCGGGAGACTTTTCTGAAGGGGCAAGGTGTTGAAAGAGACTATTGGACAGGGACAACAGCACATAAGAGGAAACCTTTTCCTTGGTGTGGTGAGACAGTTTGTCGAATAAAAAGAGAATTTGACGAGTGTAAAACTCGCTAGTTTGGATGCTGTCTCACACGTCCCGCTCGGTTCGCATGGTTCGAACGTCCAAAGGGCGGGAGGGAGGCAACTAGCATTTGGAAAAGGCGAGGCGGCCTTTGGTTAGTAGGAACAGGGTTTCCTAAGATCCTAGGGTAGAGATCAACAATATATATATATATATACATATCATATCTATTGAAAGCACCATCTGACTGGTTCAACCCTCGGGAGCTCCGAGAATCTCCAATGTCCAAGTCCGCGAGGTGCTGCGGGAGTCGCTGGAGCTGTCCGTGGCTGGGACGCTGATCTGCCAGGGCGACCTGGCGAGAGAGGTGGATCCCGAGGAGTCTCTTGGCTTCAACTCAGGTCCGAGCGCGGCGAAGCCAGGCCAATGCCGCCCATTCGGTGAAGGGACGAGGTGGAGGGATGTGGGAGGCAAGATTGGAAGGACCAATGAGCAGGGATTGGTGGAGAAAGGGTTGAGGAGGGGGCCACATGTCTCCTTGATTACTTTTTGCTTTGTGAGAGCTTCCTTTTGCAGAAGGTTTCGTGAAGACACTTCGCTACACGAGGTCGTTGAGAAACCTGCCCAAGATGGACTCCAAATGAATGAACTCCATACGTTTACCGGACTTTTCCTGAATGGCTCCCAATCCACAAGCCGTGGGACAGAGCTGCCCTGCCACGCCACGTGTGCGCGCCCCGCCACGCGTCCAGCCCTGCCACGGTTCGGCCACGATCCAAACTCCGTGATGTATCCAAGGTGGGCCAGCTGGACCAGCTCCCATCACTCCCATCACTCCCATCACTCCCATCACCCAGCTTTGAACGGCCTCAACGAGGGCCCCAACCTCCAGAGACGACCGGAGAGTCGACCTTGAGGTCCGGACGGGCTACCCGGTGCCGGTGCCGACGGTGCCGGAAACGGGTGCTGTAAGACCGGACCATCCCGGGACCCCTTTTTTCGCGCACCGCATTGTAAGAAGCGCTGGTCAAGCCTTCACCTTATTCAAAAAACAGGTGGTTTTTGGGACCCCTCTTTTTTGAAGCAGGTGATTTTCTGGGCACCTCTGGTCACCACCTCTTGGAGGGTCTGGTGCCCTGGACCTGGGCAACGCGCACCGCCCTACCCGCAGAGTGACCGATCAGCTTGATGGGCCTCTGCCACACCGCTGGCCGGGTGTGGGGCGCATGGTGAGGAGCCGGCCCTGGTGGACCCCTTTCGCGGCTGTCTACTGGTGGTTACACTATGTATTGGGAGATTGAGGCCAACCCACCACTTGGTGGATGACAATGAGACGATGCGCTAATGTGCTCATTGGTCTCCCAATCTGGGGGTCTCCGCCATGCTAGAAGGGGAGGCCTACCAAGAATTGAATGCAACCAGTGCGACCCTTCATGAGCTCAAAACTATCAGAACCATTTGTTCGGAGTGTCCTGGCTGGACCACCTAGCATGACTGGATCTCCATGTCTACTTGACGGAGACTTTTTAAGTCACCGTTTCAAGCTGGAATGAATGGGTCATTGGTGGAAAGACTGGTTGCGCCTGATAGGCCAGAGGCGCCACTCTTCAATCTGCAAACATGACCGCCGGGTGAAAGTACACCTGTTCGACAGCCTCATGTTCCCATCCTTCTTGGATGATATGGCTGGACGGACTCCGAACGAGACGCTCAACATAACACCTTGTGAGAGTGCTTTCGGAGAGTGACCTTTTTAATGGTTTGCTTGTTTGCTGTCTTGTTTTGAACATGGCTGCTACATTGAAACCATTTGAAACATGAGTCACAGGTCTTGAATGTTTCAATTGTGTTCTTTCTAACGTCATGTGTGCGCAGAAATCCGGGATTGGGGACAACAGTCAGAGCGCACCGAGAGGCCAAAGCGGGGCACGTTTCCCCCTTCCCAGATTCTGGAGGGACCAGCAAAACATCACGTCAACTCCCGTTCCAACCGCCGAACTGGTGGAACTGGTGGAACCGGTGGAACCGGGTGAGCAACTTCATGCAACTTCTGGACACCGGATGTCTTGCGTGGGAAGGGAACATGGGTCGACTGGTCGACTCATGTTCGCAACAACCACAGGGCTGTCGGACGACCTTTCTCCTGTCCTCCTGTCATCCTGTTGCAAGACAATGACCTCGGTTCTCGAGCGGATTTGATCAGTGAATTGATTTATGCTTCTCTACAATCACCACGAAGGCCATCATCCTCAAGATGTTAGCTAACATCATCTTCATAGGCACAAGAGCACAAGCGTCAACAGTTGTTAAGTTGCTTGATGATTTAAGTTGGCGTTGCCCAGCAAATTTGTGCACACACAGCTGAGCCTTCGCAAAGGTAGGACGGAAGGTGCGGACTTCTGGGCCCTTGAAAGACCGCAATGACATCTCTGGCCGATCTCTCTCTCTCTCTCTGTATCTACATACAATATGACACAGCATGTATTGTTATTATGTTTTATTGTATATAATCATTTAACACGTATTATTGTTCTATTGTTATATGACACGTATTATCATTTCACCTGTTTCATGTGTTTCTGTATCTATGAACATCAATCTAGATGCGATTCCGCTCGGGGGGGTAGATGTAGCGCGGACTGGGATGGCCCACCGATTTCAGAGCCTAGAAATCCCTAAGAACCATTATTTTGCTACGGATGTTACATGGTTTGACGAACCAGGTCAACCGTTCTTAATACGGTATAAAAGGGTTTTGGATAGCTAGGGTGGGATTAAAGACAGGTCCGACAATTGTGTCTCTATGCTACTCTAAATCTGGCAGCCCCTCCGATTCATCCAGAGCACATAAAAAGATATAAAAAGAAGATATGTACTCAGATGTCTGCTTTCTTTCCACAATATATATACATATATATGGCGTGTGAGAGTGTGGGTGTGTGTGTGTGTGTGTTTGCAACTCTGTGGAAAGCTGTGCCATGCTGTGCCGCTGTGTGAAGCCATAGGGAACTCTATTTTTTTTGGACAAAAGCAGCTCTGAGAGGCAACGTTCTGCTGGACCAAAGAATTCACCGTTCGAGCTTAGCTCGAAGAAGAAATCATCTGCCAGCATCCCGAACACACAAGCGTTTACTGTAGACTGATTCGGGATTTTCATCTCATCGGGATCTTCCTGTTCTTCCGGATCTTCCTGTTTTCGGAGGCAAGATTTCTTCGAGTTTCGGATGTCAGAAAGCCGGATCTTCCTCTAATCCAGTTTCTTCAGTTCTTCCTGGACCTTACTTCTTCAGTCTGCCGCAGTCCGAACCAGAACGTGGCTTTTCCTGGGCAAAAGCGGCGGCGAGAAACACCTGAGTGGGAGGCTTTGTTTGGAACTAGGCAGGACCTGACCTGCCCGGCCGGATTCGATCTTTGTTTTGGTATCGACATGAATCTTTGGTACCAGGAGTCACAAGACGGGGTGGTGTAGACCTCCCCAAGTGAGTGGAGTAGCTGGGCACCCCGACTACCTCCATTGAGCCCTTTGTGTGACTGCTGGTATCTTGAAAAGGAGACCGTATTCGGTGAACTGAACTGGCTGGGTCCTAGACCAAGTCGCGGTTGTGTTTCAACTCAGGTCCAGCTGGATCTTGGACAACGAGGTGGGGAGAAATTGTTCAGAGAGCTCCGTCTTTTGGCGGGTCAGCTAGTTTGCACCAAAGCAAAAAACTTGAAACCTGAGAACACTTTGATGTCTGGGTGGTTCAAGCCTGCCAAATCTATAATATGATTACGGTTGATAGGTCCTACATCGACTTGTAACCAAAACACGACCTCCACAAAACCCCCACCCTTCTCCGCTTGAGACGCCTGATTTGCAACCGAACTGCTGGTCCTACAGACCTTTTCTCCGCTCACGAGGACCCGAAAGAGGAACATGTTCTTCCAACGGGGCTGACCCCCACTTCGAAACAATCTTTCAGGGAGTGCAGCATAGTCTTAACGATCGTTTCTATAGAGCTCTATAGTCTCATCGAGGTCAGGACCCTCGAAAGATCTGTAGCCACTGCTTGGGGGAAAACCACCTCTACAGGCCCCGGGGGGAAGGCCTGTCTCGATGTGACTGTCGTCGGAAGCCAGCCATGGTGGAAAACCAAAGGAACCGAAGGAACCGAAGGAAAACCCGAACGAACGCTGCGGATGCGGCAGTGACGGTCTCTCAGCGCGAGTGGTACGACGCGTCGCCGGTGAGGCTGGAGCGCGGCTCCTGGTGGTGACCTTACAAAAGATTCGGCCCAAGAGCGCCTTGAAATCCGCGAGGCGAGAAAACGGTGATTTGGTTGGCAGGTGTTTTGGTTGGCTTGTGTCTGTCCAAGAAACAGCAGCTTTTGAATGCTTTTGACCAGATTCTTTAGAGACAGTCATGAGTCATGACCACTGTCCAATGAAGATACGCAAGCACAACATACACACAACAAGAGAGAAAGATCTTCATCTAGATTGAGCCTTCTAAAGGCTGAGCCTTCTCTTTAGCCCAAACTCACACCAAACTCACGCCATGCGACATGTCCATGGCCTCAGACGAGGGCTATGCCGCCTCTCCTGGGTGAGGGCCTTCTCTGCTGAGACCTGGTGCTTCATTGCCCGAACTCGGCTCGGCTTAGAGCCGCTGCTGCTCGCAGAGCTGGAAGCTCTTCACGAAGGGGGCCGTGCTGGACCCGGACGGTCTGAGGGGACCCGTCTTCGGCGTCGTTCGAGGTCGGTCGAAGACCAAGCGAGGTCAAAGTCCGGAGTCGACGAGGTGGAAGTCGGTTTAGATGTGGAAGTCCCTCGGTTTGAGAAGTGGACTGAGAGTGCGAGCCGTCCTCGGTTTGAAGCAATCAAAAGCTCCAAGATCGAGAATGAGCCCTTGAAGCTCCCAGAAGGAAGAGAAGACGAAGGCTTTGTGGAGATCCATGGGCCTTGGCAGAGTTTGTACTGGATTTTGCGCTGCTCTTTGCTTCGAAGCCTTTGGATTCGTGTGACCTCCTTTCCGTGCGAGAGCTTGGCAGATCTGGAGACCGCGGTGCGAGCCACACGCTGGGAGGAGTATTTGGACCTGCGTGACCTGGGACCCATCACCGCCTTTGAGCGCCAGTCGCGTTTAGACGCCTCCGACGTGCAGCTGGCACTCCAGTCCACTCTCCACGAGCTTCGTTCGCTTTCGGGCGAAACGACGAGTGAAACGACGACCCGTGGAGGGCGTAGCCGTAGCTCGGTGCCGTTGCGGGGGGTTCTCCATCGGAACGTATGCTCTTTGGAGTTGGCCTGTGTGTTTGATCGACCAAGGTCTCCTCCGCAGGGCATGGTCCCCCGAAGGGACGTGGGCGTGTCGGTGGGAGAAAGCTGGTCGTTACGGCCCCCGAAAGTGCCAAGCTCCGCGCAGTCGGAGGGAACTCGGCGAAGAAAGCCCGATTTGGAGAGCACGTTTGTAGCAGCATTGGTGGCGCAGATTCCTGAGAAGGCGCTGTATTCCCAGCTGGTGATATGGGATCCATTCTGCCGCAATGGGCAGATCCTTTTGGAATTCTTGAAGACACGGATTCTGAAGCTTCCCCGAAGTGTTGAGCAGCAGCCCTGCGCGAGACTTCGGCACTACCGGCCAGAAGAGGCGAATGCCATTCTCCAAACGACCACCAGGAGTTCGGTGCCCTCAGGACATGACTTGACCCTCGTTGGTTCGGATCGAAGTCGGGTTGCCATCCTGGAGGCCCAAGAGCGCCTCAAGCAATTTGAAGGGCTGGGGCTCCACCTCTCAGCTGTTGCGGATGAAGATGGACGTGAGAGAAGAGAAAAGAGAGAAAGGGAAAGGGCTGAAACTTCAAAGACTCGACTCACCAAAGGCCGAGCTGTGCGAGCGCGACCTCAAGGTGCTGAAGGCATGTCGCTTCAGGTTGAGAAGTTGAGCCCTTCCACCGAGGCCCAAGAGTTCAGCCGTGTGCCTTGCCAAGTGTTTTTCAATGTCGCGGACTACACGGAGATCGCAGCATATTTGTCGGGCACCATCATTTTGACCCGAGTGCCCAGTGAGACTCATGGTTTGGGGTGCACTCCCCGAATGGCACGTCTCTACCGGCAGTTTGGGCATTTCTTGGCTGCTCGTGGCTTACCGGGCACCGTCTTGGAAGCCTTCGTGCTGGTGGACAGTCGCGTCTTTCGGCGGCAGACGCGCTTGGCGTGGCAGACCGTGGCCTCGTGGCGCGCGCCAAGCCAGCGCCGCTGGTGGCTGTTGCATTGGTCGCACGGACAGCCTCACGGGCACCGGCCGAGTGAGGGTGAACTGAGACGTGGGCGCCACCGGTGGGAACAAGCTCCCAGGCGGCGCCAGCTTCGGCGAAGGCGCCTGGGCCATGAGACTTGAGGTATCCAGTTTCTCACGAGGCGCACCAGCCTGACTCTGTGAGCCTTATCGAACAGGGCGCCACTGCGAGACGCCCAAAATGGGGGGGGCGACCCCGTCGATGCCTCGATGCTGGAGCAGTCGAATTAGAGTTCGATGATTTCGAGAGGACGCAGACAATGAGGCAAACCCAAATGCCCTGCATTGAAGTTCGCTGCTGACCAAAGATGGTTTGAAGAACCGCGGTCTCCGGTGGATACTTTTCGGTTCGAAAACGTGCTTTTTCCTGCGCCGCTGGCTTTCTTATCCTAAGCTTTTGGAACTGGCATCAAATTCTTCATTTAATCTAAGCTGCCAGGTGTGGGAGGTGTGGTAGACGGATGGGAGACGCCAGTTTCTACGCCAGTATGCGGGGATTTACCGAGCCCAATTGGGGGGTGAAATGCGCTCCAGGTTCAGTGGCGCAGTTCTTGAGAGATTTGGCTTCATGGTCCTGAGAAGCATGATCATAACATATCGTGTATAACAATATTGTACATACAGTAAGCCATAGTAAGACAAACATATTGTTTTTTGCTCCCCCAGTTTTTTCCTCAAAGATGCCACTCAGACTCACCCAGTCCTGCCAGTCCAAATTTGGGTGCCATTGTTTCCAGCTGATCTCCCTTAAGACTTTCTTCATTCGTTGCACCCCGCTACAGAGCAGCACCACGCCGGGTTTGTGCCCCGCGCAGGCAATGGCCTTGCTTGTGGAAGGCAGATGTTGCCACCTGAAAACGATGGGTGTGAAAAAGTGGTGCGGCGGATTCAACGGCAGACGGTGAGCCGACAGGTGTTTTTCACCACCACCACCACTGCCGCCACCACCACCAGCAACAGTACTGTAGATCTGCACTACGGGGCGGAGCAACAAGGAGATTCGTGCTCGCAGATCTTCTTTTCAGCATCCCCAAAGGCCTCAAAGCATCACCCTCCGAAAGAGTCATGTAGTACGGACGAAGAATTATGGGATGAATGTGAAACACGTTCATCCACTTCCAGCCTCCAGAGGTTGAAGAACCCTATAGAATCCTATAGACTCTTCCATAACCCCAGGTTACGCCTATTTACGGTCACTTAAACCTCTGCCTGGTCGCCTGGTCGCCTGGTCGCCTTCGAATTCCTTCGACGTCTGCGAGGTCTCCTCGGGTGGTCGCTACCAGCTGCGAGCGGTGCAGAGCGGTGCAAGGGCAGCACGCTTGAATGTGGCGGTGGCCTTGCAAGGAGAGAAATCGCCGGGAGCCCCGCTTTTTCGAGATGCGATGTTCGGGCGATTGAACCAGGGAGGTGGGGATGCGGATGCGGGGATGCGGATGCTCGGATTTGAGGGAGTAGGACATGGTTGGCGGTTGATGGATAAAAGATGATCAAAGCCTTCTGTCTCCTGGATGGTCTAGATCTCCAGCTTATGTTTAATTGTGTCTTTTGATTCATGTTCACATATGTTCACCTCGAACGATGTTTGCAGAGTCGGAGGAGTAGCAACAAAGCCAGACAGGGTCACGGAATGGACGTGAGATTACTGCGAGATGTCTTCAGCAAGGGTTTGTGCGAGCTCCTGCAGGCTCCTGAACGAGCAAAAGCTTGGTTCCACATGTTCCACCCTCCTAGCCGACCTGGGTTTCTTGCAAACCACATTTTGACTGTGACATGAAGAACTCGATTGTGCATGACGCCAAAGATGGACTGAGGGACTCACCGTCCGAAATCAACCCAACCTAGGGTCTTCTCTGCGAAATTTCGGGACGTTGTCCCTTGACTGCGGAACCAGACATGGCGGACATCGGACAGGTGCAAGATGTATTGAGGGTAATAATGAAAACCACCAGAATCTTCGCTGAACTTGGCCCATTGCCATGTTCCAGAACTCATGTCCTTCGATTCCTTACGGAACGTGCGTTCCGTGACGTTTCTTCTTCAGCTGCAGCTGCTTAGCGTTCGGAGTGCAGACGGAATTGCAGGATCGCACATGAGCAAGCTCACTGAGCTGGTCAACCAAGATTCTCAAGCGGGCAAGCTCACTGAGTTCACAGTTCGTGGACCTTTTCTTTCCTTGTAAACATTGGGTGCCCCCCCGACAGATGCATGAAGCCTTTCTGTTGGTGAAGCTAATGGTCGCTGATCCACTCACGATGCTAACCTTGCTAAGGGTCCGGGCATCTAGGTCCCAGGCCCTCATAGGTCGCTGGTGACTGAAGAGCCTGAGGATTTACGATGAAAAGCGCCAGAATCAGCTGAAGAACACTCCCTGATCCCAAAAACACCGAAACCTAAGCTTGCTCCTTGCCATGGCATCCATCCTCCAAACTCCGCTTTTTTTCCACAGAGACAAGCCCACCCTCGCACGCAGTCTGAGCAACTCCAGCCAGAATGAGTCGGCCAACAGCCCGAGACCATGCCAGAGACAACATTTGAGACCCTTTGAGCTCACCATGACTGATGGGATGGTCGCGGGCCTTCCGGAGGCCGTCTCGTCGATGTCTGATCAGTGACGTTAAAAGTAGAGATCTTGTGAAGAAGAAGAAGCACGACCAGCAATTACTGTAGAGTCTGGAATTTCACCCTCCCTCCATGCCCTTTTCTGCTTGCGAAAGAGTTGTGAAACTGTGCCCTGGTCTTGTTCCATTGCCTTGCTAGCCAAGAGCGAACACGTATAGTTATAAGAAGACGTCTAAAACACATCATTCTGAAGCCGCCACCCGGTACCGATCGACAGGACTTCTTGGGCCGTGAGGAAGAGCTGCGGTGGCTCCTCAGTGCCCTGACACCGTGCGCAGAATCGCACTCTGCGCGCGAACTCTGAGCGCTCTCTGCTGGACTTCTTGACTGGGGGTGCTCTGAATCTGAAGGACACCTTTTTGGGGCTCTGAGGGACTGATGACCAGAGGTGAAGTGACCTTCCGTAAATCGGAACCTACTGGGGTACCCAACTAGGCTTCTTCAACCTACTGGGACCTACTGGGATAAATAAGACTGGGATAGGCTGAGAGTCCAACTAGGGACGCTCGGGACACACCGCAGTCGAGAGCAGTCGCCGTCGGTCGCCGGGCCGTTGACTCGGGCGTGCCGCGGTAGGGCCTCCCGCCGCTGGGTGAGATGGTCCGCCCGAAGTCGAAGACTGGAAGTCGATGGCTTTTGGGAAGATGAAAAGGAGCGGACACGAGTGGTTCAGTTTGGCCGATTTTTTCCCGAAGAGGCCTGGTTCCAGGGGAGTTGTCACATGTTTTTCCACAGCCAAGCCCATCCCACCCATCCAGACATACCATCACCCCACCCATCATGGAGCTTGGAGCTACGATCAATCGATGTCTTCCAAGGCTACCTCACTGCTGGGGAGAACCAGGCAGCCGAAAATGCAGGAACACACCCAACGCTACAGAAGACGCGCCAAAGAAGAATGAAGAAGTACACTAATACCAGCACCCACAAGGGTTGGTGAACGGACACCCCTTAACCTCCGAGCTATCAATGGAACTCCCTTAGCGACCCACTACTTGTTTGGTGATGTTTTTCATTCTTGTGGATTTTCATGGATTTTCTGTTTGGATGGCCCAAAGAAGCCCTCCGCATCACCCAGGACTCTCGCGGTCTTCACCACGCGGCAAACAACACCCCTCGGTTTCGTCACGACTGCGCGAGCAAGCCGCAGTCGTGAAGGGGTGAACCATAAAAGAAAGCAAACCTTTCTTAGCACGTGATTTTGAATCAAAAGGACTAGTGGACTAGTGTTAGGATGTTTTAGGATGTTTTTGGATGTTTTAGGATGTTTTTGGGACACTGGGGGCTCTCATGGTGGAATCTTGGGGCCACAAGCTTGCGCGTGGTTTGTCTTGTCTTTCTCCACGTGCCGGAAAACGCTGTGCCAATCGCCCCATGATTCCATGAACTCCATCTTATAGATAGATCTTTGACCTCTGCACTCGCGTGGTTTCGCAAGAAAGGCGTGGTTTCTTCCGCAGAAACCTTCGTCACCACCGCCCTTTTCACCGCTCCGCACGGTGAAACCCGGCCGGCCAGGTGAATGCCGTCACACGCGGCCGTCAAGAAGGCAGCCTTGGCAGCTTTCTGTTTAGCCTGCCCTCCTTTGTAAGGACCGTCCGTCTGATCGCCGTCTCGGTGAGACGGGTCGGGCTCCCGGTTTTGGTGAGAATGATGGTCTTTCGACATCCCCCAAGCACGAGGTCTGACCGTCTTTTCTTTCTTTTTTTTCGGGGGGGTTTGGCGCGGGGAGCATTGCTTCGGAGCTTCCGAGACACATCACTGATGTAGCTCTAAGACCCCGAAGACGACCCTGCCTTTGGGTCTATTTTTTATTATCGATCATTTTACCGTTCAGATAGTGATAGTAGCCACATACAAACCAGACTCAGACACCCTTAAATATATACCTGGAGATCCAAAATCCTACAAAAAAGCCAGATTTGCAAGACAACGGAGGTTTTGACATGGAACGCCCGGTTCTGGCCAAATCTATTTCGCTTTTTTTCGCCCCACCCAACAACCAAACCAACGGTCGGCCGTGGATCCGCGCGCATGTTTCCGTGCTCGACAGTGCTCGAAAGACCCGGAAGAGTGCGCTGGTGTTCGCGTTTCAGAGCAGCGATTTCGCGGCCGATTTCAGAGCACCTCATCTGAAGAATACAAGAAACCTTATTAACCTGGAGGGTTAGTTTTAAACAAAAACGAGGACAAGCACCAGCCTGCAATCCATTTGAGGCACCAGAAAAAAAGAGACCAGTCGAGTCGGGTGAGCAGCGGTTGGCGCCACTAAGATCAAGACCGCTTTGTAAAGAAACGTAGGCTTTGAAGGTCCATGTTTTTTGGAGCCCATGAGAGCCTGCAGTCTGATCCTTTTTTCATGATGTGGAATGGGATTCTTCCAAGGCCATGAATGTGCGAGTCTTGCTGGTCTTGATGGCGGCTGCGTTCTCTGGCATATTGCAAGGCTGCCGCGAGGAGTCCAGCCCAGAAACTGTCCCTGACCCGCACGACCACGACGGCGATGGGGTCCCGGATCACGATGATGACAATCACGTCGATGATGACCATGATGACCATGATGACCATGATGACGATCATGACAACCACACGGACGACCACGACAATCACACGGACGAGGACAATCACACGGACGAGGACAATCACACGCTCTGAAGCAAAGGGCTGAATAGCAGCCTCTGAGTGGACTTGAAGAACGAGATGCCAAGACTGGCAAAGTAAGTTGTATTATAGTATAGTTCAACAGTAGTGTTCAATGTCCATTTTGTATTGATCTTCAAGTTGAAGCCTGTTTCTTTGTACTGGTTTGGTTTGACAGCCGTTGAGAAACTCCGGCGGCCGGCATAGCATTTCAAGTCCTCTTCTCTTCTTGGTACACTATAGCTGGAGCAACCCAACAGGCCATGTTCTTGGAGAGAGTCATGGGTTTGTACAGTCAAACCTGTTGCGTTCCGGCAGCCGAGGGGTGGCGTTCTAAATGGTTATGCCTACAGAGTCAGGTCTCTGAACCATAGACAGTCTAGACTCTAGAGACAAGCTCAACAGGGGGTTTCAGAATGGTTCAGATAGATTCACAACAAAGGCACACCCATTCTTTTTGCATTTTCTTGGCACTTTTCCCTGTCCAAAGAGCAGGCCTTACTGATACTGTCGACTTGGCAAAATGGTTTGCACATGCCACTGCAGTGGACGTTGATCAAAGATGATCAAAGTGCTGTTGCACAAGTCAGACTTGCGCACATGCATACACTTGACTAGCTTGCTCCAACCCAAGGAGGCATCACTAGCTGGCGCTTCTACTTCCTACTGTTTACTACTGATCACATGGGTTTCTTCACAAGCTTGATCATTCCAATCCGTTCAGACCTGCTTTCCGCAGCGTGTGTCAATTGACCGGTTGGGATTTGTGACATCGACGCTGGCGGATCGCCGGACGAAGACGCTGAGCTGTTCAACTTGGACCGAAACGAGACAGCACCCGATAGACAGGTCTCCGAAAGGGTGTTTGAAATGATCTGAAATGGATCACTTAAAAAGTGGCAGGTGGTGACCTGTGAAGTCAGGTGCTGGTATTTGTCCACGCTATTTTTTTTTTCTTTTTTTATAGCAAACCTTCCAGGTAAGGTCTCTTGATTTCTATTTTAGTCTCGCTCGTCTGCCCAGAAGTACCTGCGAACTAGCCGAGAATCTCAAAATTATTTTCGATCGGTACATGTGAGTTGGTTGCATTATATACCAAGGCTATGAACCTCCGAGTCTTGCTAGTCTTGATGGCGGCTGTGTTCTCTGGTCTATTGCAAGGCTGCCGTGAGGAGACAAACCCTGTCACAGATGCTGACCCGCACGACCACGATGGAGACGGGGTCCCCGATCATGATGATGATGATCATGAAGACCATGATGACGATCATGACGATCATGACGATCATGACAACCACACGGATGAGGACAACCACACGGATGAGGACAATCACACAGACCGTCTCTGATGCAAAGGGCTGAATAGCAGCCTCCACGGGCACGAACGAGAAAGTCAAGACGGAACGAAGGCAAAGTGAGTGAGTTCAAAAGGTCATGTTTAATGTCCATGCATATTGACGGCCGATCATGCAAATGGGGTTTGACAGCAGTTGAGAAGCTCCGTTTTGGCATTCGTAGACGAGCTGGGGCAAACTTGCCATGCTCTTGGAGAGAGTCATGGGTCAAATCTGTTGCGTTCCGGCAAAGAGGGGTGGTGTTCTTTGAAATGGTTGTGTCCAAAGTCAGCCAAGAGCAGATACCTTCCATTGAACATCTTTGAACATCATTGAACTGATGAACTGATGTCTATTTCTGACCTGCGGGTCAGCTTCACAACATGGACACTCCATACTTGCATGGGCCAAACATGCCCAGACGACCGGCCAAACATGTCGGCCACCGGCCACTGATGCGAAAAAGGACACGGTCCGAGACACGGTCCGAGACGGTCCGTCCGGCAAGCGACCGGTATAGACCTGGTTTCGCCCGGTCCCAACCGGAAACAGTTCTGGTTCCAATATGATCGGCGCCAGCTTGAAATCCTTGACATAGGAAATAACTAGGACTGGGGAACCGGGGCAAACATCCACTTGTTCCTGGTGGTTTTGGTTTCTAGGTAGTAGACAGATCTATATACTGACTGTATGTGTGAATGCATTGGACTAGGCAAACACATAGTGTAGAAGCAGACGTATGAAAGCGTTTCCAGTTGCATGAGCTTGCTTGTGAGGTGTGAACTTGGTACTTTACAGGTCTTCGCATTCTTAGAGCCTTTGAAGATACAGAACTGCCAAGAAACCCATTGGCGACCTTGTTCCGCACTCACTGAGTCCGCCCCCCGAAACTGGTTCCGACTGAGTCGTGGGCGACTTCCTTCAGCGGGTGTCCAGTCGTAGCGCGGTCGTCCGTGGTTGGTCCTTTTCTCGCCGACCTCCGGGGCTCCGGAAGTGGCACCCGGGGTCCACCGACTCGGAGGGAGCGCGGTCAACGGCCTGCGGTGGTCCGTCGCGGTTTTCCCTTCGTGACCGAAACGACGCAGCGTCGACCTCGACGTCCCCCAGGAGTGTACAAAGCTTTTTGGCGCAGAAGCAACTGCCGCCCTTGATCGTGGAAGGTGAGGGCCCATTGTGATGCAAGGGTCCCGGTTCGGCAGAAAGGGGACTCTGGAGACGAAGTATGACGAAATGTGTCGCGAGTTGGTCCGCGAGACTCGGCGAGACTTGCGGAAGGAATGCATCGAATGGCAGACAGACTTGTATTTCATCTCTGGATGCCCCAAGTAGAGAAATCTCTTGTATTTCATCTCCCAAGTAGTCTACTTCTATACTTGTATTTCATCTCTACTCGTGGTCGCTACTTGTGAAGCCATCCGCTCCAAGTCCACCAGTGCCAGGTAGCCCTGGAGTGGGGCGCTCTGCTTTGCTGCAGGCGGCGAACCTGGCGGCCCTGTAGCCATATAGAACCGGCGAAACCAGGCTTTGTCCCAAGGATCCTACTCAAAACACACACCTGCCATGCTACTTGGCCCACTTGGCTTTGCAGAGGCATGCTACTTGGCTCCCTGAATCGTGACCGTCATGACCTCCTCGTACTTGCACTCTCCAGTCAGGTTTGGTGCCTGCGGGACTTCCATAGGGACTTCCGCATGGCTTGCGCTGCGGGACTCCTATCTCTTGCGCCCCAAACATGAAAATCTTGCGGAAGCATGTTCTTCCATAAAGCCTGGTACCATCGCGTTCGTGGTGGGGAGGGGATGTGCCGTCCCAGATCCTATAGTAGCTCAAGCTGCAGGATTGCCTTACCATTTCGAGCCTTCAGTTTACCGTCTGCAAAATTCCCTCAAGATTCCCTCAGATTTGAGTCACCTTAGCGGCTAGGTGCTATTGTTCGGGGGTTCTCAGAAAGAAACATGGTACCAATCAGTTCCGCCGTTCGTCGCAAGAAACCTCCACTAGGCCGCTGCCCGCACCGCCGAGCAGTTGCCCGGCTTGCGGGTGCTCCTTCACCGAGGGAGCGGCGAGCGCCTACTGAGACGTCTCTATGCCGCGTGGCGGATGGAGGGTCGGTCAGGAGTCGTGGAGGGCGGGAGAAAGCAGAGCCTCGACCCGCTGAATGCAGATTCCTCGATCAAAAGGCGATCAGGAAGAAGTTGTGGATTTGCAAATCAGCACAACATGATACACGACGATATACGTTCCTTTATGTTGTTTTACTGTAATACTTATATTACAGTATTTGTTGATTTTATTGTCATCTCTTGCCAACGGTTGGGCTTTTACCATCTCAGGGTCTTGAGTTGCTAACCAGCTTAGAGACTCTTCACGTGTCTCACCTGACCCCCAGGAAAAAAGGTGCAGAGGGAAAAGACATGACAAGACATTGATTAGCAACATTTTTGATATTCTAGAACACTAATATATGCCTGTGCCTGTGCTTCATCAATAAAGTCCTAAAAAGAGAGCTACTTGCAAAACGGACCTCGCACCCCCGGTTTTGTGCTTGCGTGGATGACAGAAGATCTTTCGTGGTCTTTCCAACAAGGCCTCTCCCATGTCACAGCACTCAATAGGTCTACTATGGTCTACTAAATCTACCCAAACACCGATGGCCCCCCAAGCTTGCACATCTTCCATTTCAGCACCTGGCACCATTTTGGGCACCTGGCACCATCATTTGTGCCACAGGACAATCATGAAAATGACTCGTTTCCAGAGTTGACTGGGTTTGTTCTCTAGATGTTCAGCTGCCGAAGCATGCGCAAGCGCAAGCCCGCGCCAAAACCGGCCACCAGGATGGCATCGACGAGGCCGGAGCTTCGGGATGGCATCGTCCAGCCACCAGCGGCTGAAACCGAAAGCTCTCGGACTGAGAGCTGAAGAAGTGGCTGACAAGTGGCCACTCCGGACATGCTGAAGTCTTGGCGTGGAATCCCGCATAGGCAAAGGGACAGTGGTTGACACCATCCATCTCCCAGTCTTGGTGTTTGAAGAGGCTTGAGGGACATACAACGTCGGTTGCATCGGCGTCGGTTGCGCTCTTGGAATAACTCTGGAACCAAATGGCTTTGTAGCAAAATTGGGAGACCTCCCAAAGACCTCCTACCCATTTGTTGGGTGCCGAAAATGTGTGTCGCTATGAAAAGACACACTCAAACGAAGAACCCATCGACTTCTCTGGTGAGTTGTGCCCAGCTCTTGATCCAGTGCCAAAAGGAGTGGACCGATCCCTATCGAGGGCGAGCCCATTTCGGATTGAGGGTGGGCCGTGAACCACTATGACGTTCTTCCGTTGCACTCGCTGGCCGGTGCAACTTGAGTCAGATCCTAATAAAAAGTATAGAGTGAGACAGGGGAACACACAGATATTGGCCACCCTGAATGCCGTTGTTCCTTCAAACAACTCCTGGAGAGCCCTGCAACATGCTGGCGCCCCTGCTCTTCGCTGGAAGATCCCTTGCAGGTCACCGATGAAGAGCTGCTGCTGATGCCGGTCATCAGCAATGCTGGCAGGTCCTTCGATCCGAACATCGCTCCGAATCGCTTCCGCTTCGGGATGACCGCGCTGGGCCTACTCCGCTTCAGAAAAGAGGATGACCCCGCCTGCTTCACGACGCTTCTTTCAAACACGTCGTTCTTTTTTTGATTCTGACGTCGGCTGATTGGTTCCACCGCTCAAAAGGTGAACAACAAGAATGGACCTCCCAGCGGTTGGTCTCCCCCACAACATGATAGTTCTTCTTAATTCCAGGAGATCGATCACAATCATGGTGATGGGCATCCTGTCAGTGCATCAGGGGGCATTCCAGGCACCTCCGCGATTCGCCATCCCGAACGTGGAACTGCTTGTGGAATCAGAGTTGTTAATTTTTTGATGTGTTTGCTATGCCCTGACAAAAAGAGATACTTACAGACTGAGTTGACCTGCTTATTCATCACGTCTTGTGACTCCCCAGCGTCGGAGAGCTCTGAGATTGTCCAATCAGGACTCTGTTTTAGGCCTGTCAGATCCTATCAATAGCTAATAGCTATAAATATATATATATATACCTAGAGCCTGACTGACCTCTGTTTTGATAGGAAAAGATCATATTTTGGATACTTGATCCTCAATTCAGTAGATCCCCTCTATCAAGTCAAGACCCAACCAATCCTAAATCTTCTCATCCAACGAGCTGCTTGAGTTTGTGTAGCCTGGCCTACTCTGGGTACTTTGACTGTTTGACCTTTAGGACTTCGGCCTGAACACGGGAGATGTCCAAACGAAAGGTCTGGGATGTTAAAGCATCTTAATCCTCCAGGTCTTCTGAAATTGAGGCTTGCCCAGGTTGAAACAAACCCAACCCTTTGGGGTAAGGTCATGAGGTTTTGTGGTAACCAGGCCCACTTCCTCAAGATAGCTCTGATCAGCAGCCACTGTGGTGAATTCCATGATTCCATGTTTTGCCTCATGCCAGCCACAATGGTCCAATACACTTTCCATCATGTTCCTCGGTCCGCAAGCCATTTGGGCCTCGGTCGTGCCCTGTCGTGCGCTCCAGGGCAGGTGGAGTGGTGCTTTTCTTGGACGACACGGAGGTGCTTTGCGTTGGGTTTTCACGAACGGCGGTTCTCCAACACGGGACGACACGGGGACCCCCTCCGACTCGTCGGTCTCCTGGAGGCCGAACACGAAGCGTCTGAAGACCCCTGGTCTCTGCGAAAAGGTCGCAGTTCCTTCAAGACTGCGGCTGAGCTGATTGGATCGATCCAACTCCCGTTTTAGCGCGATAGGGTCGAGCTCGGGCCCAGGGCGGTGCCGGCCGCGAGAACCGATAGTGTAACAACATGTTTGGTGCAGTGGCGCACAAACAAAAAACAGTATTGTCCACCATGTTTATGCCGATAAGCAAGTAGACTTTATTGGCAGCTTGATTGCAAATCAACATCAGCAACAAACTGATTGGATTGAGCCACATGGGCTCACCCCACGGATGGGGATGGGCCCACCTCTTTGGTAGAGATGGGCTTTGGAATCAAAGAGCTCACGACAACACATCAACAGGACAAATGGGTTCATTTGAGTGTGTCTTTTCATTGGGAAGGTCTTTCTATTTGAGCTACGCACCTACATCCGGTCGGCGGAGGTGCCACCAAAAGGACGATCCGGTTTGTCTACCCCGTCAGTGGCCTGCCAACTGGAAGGGTTTGAAAACCCCCCCGTCTTCAGCAGAAGCATTTGCCCCTTGGCGACGAAAGACAGGTGGCCCCGTGGCTGCTGGTTCCCTTACCACCAGGTGTGCGTTGCTCGGTTCAGATGGCCCCCTTGTTCGGTGGTTGGGGGTTCAGAGGAAGGATCACTGGGACCTGAAGGAGTTGTTTAGCTCTCGAGGACGTGGGACGAGCCACGAGGAGAGTTGTATTTTCGTTTGACGTAGTCATGGTATCTTGGGGTTTGGTGGATGGGTGGGCAGGCGACCTTGAAAAGAGAACTAGGAGGGTGGAGGCCATCGTTAGTAGGGTGGAGGCCATCGCTATAGGTTAACTTAAAAAGAGAACTGCTACTTCGAAGAGTTCCCCAAGCCACGAGGACTGGGCGCGCGGCGTTGCGGCGCAAGACTGCTAGAGGTGATGATCTTGAGCTGAGCTGAGCTGAACACTTCCAGATCTTCGACTTTCATGGAAGTGGAATATCTCAGTTTCTAAAGGAAATCGTCTCTGATGGAAGGTCATTCTTCGTGAGGATCAGACAGGATCAGGTGTTTGGTCCTGTCAAGGTCCCTTCTCGAGTTCGTCGCCTGGACGTTGTACGCACATCCTCCCTCTTGTAAAGAAGGTGAGTTGACGGCAACCGATCCATTTGGTCTCCCCAAACATTTGTCTGATTTGCCGGGGAGATTGGAACGTCTTCCGGACTTGCACCAGTCTGGCCAATCGAAGAAAGCGGACATTTCTGACGTGTTGTTGTTGTTGCTGTTGCTGTTGCTGTTGTTGTTGTTGTTGTTGTTGTTGTTGTTGTTGTCGTTTCTCACCAGTTTCTGAGTCGAGAGAGAGAGAGAGAGTCTCCCCGATGACGGACGATGAATCCATGAAACCAGGCTGAGAAAGATCCAGTCATACGCGGGTTGGCTTGGCGGAGTGAGGATACCAAAGTACCGTCCGTTTCGACACGACCGGACGGTGGGTGGGTCTCAGCCCCTCGCAAGTTGAGACAAGCCGGTCATGGCAAGTTGATGAAACGCCAAGAACACCATATGGAGATCTAAGGCCATTCTGGAGATGGGGGTTTGATTCAACAGATCTACATGCCGAAGACATCATGGAAGTGGAGTGAGTGAAAACCACATGTTTGCTCTTCGGATTTCAACTGAAGTCGGTGTCATGCCATCCACGAAATCAGTGTGTACAAAGGTGCTTAGGTGCTTCACCGCACGCCGAGCTCAGGCTGTGTAATGGCTCCACGCACTGACACGCCAGCGCCGCTCGTCTCATGAGGGGGAATGGACCCCCACAGGGGTGCTGAGAGGAGAAAACACAAACACAAGCTTTGTCTTGGGGCTTTTGATGCGGGAAAAGGCCCAAAAGCTACGAGCAAGCTACGAGCAGCGGCAGGGGAGAGAGTCCTCAAACAAATTGGCCACTGCAATTGCCACGCGAACGAAATTGAGATGGCACCTTGGAAAGTCCTGAGTGTGGAAGAGCATGGTGTATGGTTGAGGCAAACTATCATGGTGTATGATGCTAGGTTTGGGAAGCACACCCTATCGCAGCATCATAACAGCATTGCAACATATACTCTTTAAAAGACAGTTGTTACTTTTATTTTCCAGTTTCTCAACACGAGTCTTAAAAGGAGACACACCACGGAGCACTCCAAAAGGCATCACGGTGACTCTAAAGCACCTTTCACCATCTTTCACCTGGGCTACATCAAACGAAGAACGCTTCGTTTGACGCCCGAGTTCCATACGTGTGCCAGGCCACGGGGCTTCGCATGCTTGCGCTTGGAAGGCTTAAAGGGCCCTGCGGCGGAGGAGCTCTTCACAGCGTCCGTGCTGTCGGCGGCTCGGCTCGCGCAGGCTGAAAGCAAGCCATGAAGTGTACGCTACTCCATCTTCGACGCCTTTTGAAAATAGATAGAACTCAGAAGCTGAGATGGCTGCAGCATTGAGTCAGCTACTGTTGCCATAGGCATTGCTAGTGGCATTGCTGTCATGTCTGTCATGTCCTAGTGCATATCAGAAGCATAGCCATAGCATAGTCATAAACATTTCCAAGTACATTTCCACTGTGAAGATTTCATGCGATTTCCATGTATTTTTATTATGCCATCAGTCCAAGTTCCCTTACACCAAGCCAGTCTCAGAGCTGAGTGAGTAGCCTAGAGCCAGTCCTAGAGCTCTTCCATGGCAGCAGGAGTGGCAGCAGGTAGTGCAGCTGTCTAGGTGTCGGGAAAATGGGAGTTGGTGTTTCTCCATCGACACTGCAGCCTGCCAGATCCTGGTGCTCCGATGAATGTCGCAGAGATGGCCTCCTCAAACACCTGGAGGTTGCATAGGTGCTCTCAAGTTGCTGACGACGAGAGCCACATCGGGGTCTCTTGCTGACAGGGGGAGGTCAGTTATCGCTATGTCAGAACCTCCCGGGTGTTTGCCTTTGGCCACAATTGGGAAAAACATCCACAGTTTGGAAAAGGGCAAGGCAAGCTGGGGGTCTCATCAGCCCGTCGGGCCGCAAAGCAGTCAGAGGAGCACGCCAGGAGTCGGAGGACATGGGCCAGGCGGTTGAGATGTTCCTTGGGGAGCAGGAGCTGGAAATAGATCAACAGAAGGGCGTAGGGCCAGGCGTCCGCCCCACACCCCGGCTCGGAGAGTCAGCCAAGTTCTTAGAACAAGTTGTTTGAGAGTTCAAGTTGTTTGCGCCGCCCTGGATGCTTCTCTGCGGCGCAAACCATCGGACATCTAGTTGCGTAGGTGTTGAACACCGGGCTTGGCGAAGGTGTTGCGATGGAGCTTGCAGCCGAGGACCAATGGCGGAGGGATCTCATCTACGCTCCTTCGTGTTTGGACGTTTTGATTGGGTGGTAGCCCTTCAGAAGATGGTCTTCAGCTTTTCCGAAGCTTGAGAGGAATGGGGACGAACTGCCCGGGAGATCATCATTCTCCAGGAAGTTTGCCATTGCTATGAAACTTCGTTGCTCAACACGGATCTTCGATCTTGCAATGACTGGTTCGACGCGGCTCGGAAACAGAGACTGCGATGGGGGAGAGAGGCAACACTGCCCAGCCCAGCCGATATATCTGCCTGTGGTGCCAAGAGCACCAAATCCTTCAACTCCACCTTTCGAACACCAGGTACTCTCAAAATCAAGGAAGCCAGGACATACGTCAGACTTCAAAACCAATAGCAGCTCGCCTTCTTTGCGTACCCGGTGCCTCCTGCGGGCTCCCTATCATCGGCGATGACATGCCACAAAATACTAAGGATTTTGTCCATCAACAGTATCACAAAATGATCTAGGGTCTTGGGCTGCTCACGCCGCTCACACTTGCTCACGCTGCGCCTCCAGCTTCCCAAATCCGTGGCGCCCCTTTCTCAAAGCGGACGCACAGTCCATGCAGGGCCACATGGCAGCCTCTTTGTTTTTCTGCACATGGCGACCTGCTTTGGCGCGCATCCCCATTCCTCTCAAGCTTCTCAGGGGAAGAGCAGTGGCAAATATGCGTTCGGCCAAGAGCACCCGAAAACAAACAAGTTGAGGGCTGGTTGAACCGGAAGCCTGCTCACGTCCAAGGTATGGGGACTTTTTTGTTTGTATGGCTACCAGTCGAGTTGAAAGCGAAATGATCCTGATTATTATATATATATATATACTTATTCCGTTTTGGGGTTGTGCAAGATGCAAGAGTCGGCAAGAGTTGCATCCAGGAGCTGCAAGAACGCCTGGGCTGCCGTGTGGATGGCCCTGTGAACCCACTGGAGTTGCACTTGGCTGCGCAGCTGTCGAGAAGGACCACCGTGGATTGGGACCACCGTGGATGACCTTTTTTGATTGGTCGAAGCAGCGGAAACCTTTAAGACGAAGCGACGGGCCTCTCACCACGACCTTTCGTGGATCCGTATGTCACGTCTGTCATTTTCCCCCACGACACGGGTGTCAAATCTGAACCGTTCACGTATGACCTTGCTGGGTACGACCCAACGACCCCGAGGTGAAAGGGATTGCTGGAAGATGCATCCTTTACCAAAAAGGTGGATGTTCCATGATCTTGTTGTACAACCGTTTGTTTGTTTGTTTGTTTGTTTGTTTTTGTTAAATATTCTTACAGTAGTTTTTTGAAAGAGTCCTGGCAAACAAGACCCTTGCATGTTGATTTACTTTTACTTTGTTGCGCAGGAACCTCGACCAGTGTGATTTGAAGGAGCTGATTGCGGCCACGCTCCTGGGTGGAGAAGACTGGTCAGGTCCAAAACCTGTTGCGTTGATTTCCTGTCCACAACTGGGGTCTGGGGGTTCCCTCGGGTTCCACTTCTCTATTCCAGGAGTAGTTCCAAGTTGCTTTGGTATGAATCGACCTGCGGTGAGTGGATGCTCTCCCCATGGCATCCTTATCCTCCACATCCGTGTATGACTTTTGTTCACAACGGCTGTCATTATTCTTCACCTCCTTTAACTGGGCGACTTCCAAGCCAGGATGATCCCGAAAAACACAGAGCCAGAGGCGTTCAGGTGTTGGTTAACAAGGACAGCAGCCTTCAAAGTCAGGCATGTCTTAGATACTTGGAAGGCCTAGCATGGGGCAGTGAATGATATGGAACACGTATGGAGGACAGGTCAAAAAGTGGTAAACCTTGGGTGGGCGTTCTTGTGTGAGGGTTCAACAGGAGAATGCCAAAGTTTCTGTGATGACAATAGATAGCTTTCCTCCACACTTTGGGAAGAGCAAGCTTACTTTTCAACTTCTGAACATTTCTGAGCAATGACGTCGCCCAGTCTAAGGCTTTCCTTGCGTGGAAGACCCAGGGTAGAAGAACATGTTCCAGACTTGATTTAGAGAGCTTACTCAGCAAACACACTTCCTAGCTAGACCATCAAGCGGGTGTCCTGGCTGGAGATCCCTACTGCAAGTAGGATAGTCCATCGGACACCCGTTGGATGGTCCTTTGAGCTGTTTCTTCTTCTTCTTCTGAGTGCAATAAGGGCCAGGAGTTTGCCAACGGATTTGATCCCAAGGTCTACAGGTTTGAATCTCAAGTCACCCAGGGGTTTCTTCAAGTGGAGTCATGAACCCGCCCATTTGCACCTATCAGAGTTGGCTCTCCCCCTCAGGGGTAACTGAAGACTGGATGGTCGGCGTCAATCTGCCGATCCACAGCTTTCTCTCTTAGTGCTTTCACTCGGAAACGCTCCTCCACGCGTTTCCAACGGTGACTGGCGGCTGAGGGTGTCGACTCTCGAAGATGCGGTGGGCGAATCTGTGAGGGAAGCACTTTGCTGGGGAGCTCAGAAGCACTGCGGCACCTCAGAGGTGATGATGGGAGAGATCTGAGAGATCTACAAAACTCCGTCTCACCGAGACGGAGACGTCTGCCAGAAAAAGGGCCGCTCTAAGGGTACTGGTCATGCATAACATCAGGGACATTTAGGGATCCTCTTCCTGGGTCGTTCCTCTTGAAAACACGAGCGTGTCGTACGTGTCGTAACGTCTCCCAGTGTAGTCTCCAACGAAGAGGAGTTCTTGCTCTCCATGTCACACCTCCTTCGCCCGGAAACCCTTTGGATTTATTTGGATTCCAGAGTTCGCGCGACAAATTTGGATGATCTTTGGGTCGCAACTGGGTTGGGTTCTCCAAACGGGTTCAGGTGGTCGATGGGAGTGACTCTCGAGCTTCTCTCGCCTCCTGTCGAGAGGTCCGTCATCTGAGGTGCCATCGCATGCAGCCGCGTGGGCTTGCATGATGAGGACGGCCCGCGCGAGCAGGAGGGTGACGTTCCAATGGTTCATCATGAAGAGATAAAAGAGCTATTTTCAGGTGCAAGAAGTCAGAAAGTCAGAATTCGTTTGTGGATGGCCCTCAGAATGAATGGGTTTAGCTTTTCTCATAAGGTTTGTCAGGTCCAGACCCTGTGTGCGTTTTTGGTCACCCAATTTCAAGAATTGGCCTCATCGAGACCACTGTGCCCCATCGATTAACCCTTGATTTGTGGCTCGCCAAAGGATAACAGGTTCCTACCAGCGAAGCATCGAGAATTGCACCTCATCGAGACCTGCGAAGCATCGAGAAGATCGATCAAATCGGATCGTTCCTCCTTGGACCATGTCGGAGTGACGCGTGAGTTGGAAGCCGGGAACTCGCCTCGCTGGGGACCCCTGCCAGCCATTTGGCCCAGAGGATCTCCAGACACTGTGAGGTCGTGGGAGTTTGGTACTATATAGATGGTACTAGATGGTACTAGTAGTACCAGTTTTCTCAAACACAAAAAACACCTCCAGATTTAGATCGAACCCATCCAAATCACTCGGTACTAGAGATCAAAGGTCCAAGTCTGTGGCCCCAACACCAAAACAACATCGGGGGCGAGTTATCTCTCCTGCTTTTTGTTAGCGAAGACGGGATGGAATATGGAAGACGAGTGCTTCAATACATGTGGGTGGGTTGGTGCTCTTTTGAGATGTTTTGATGTTCAACCCCTTATATACTTAGCACCATTGATCCCTTTGACTTCCTTTTTTCGTTCCTGCCGTTTTCAACCGGCCGGGAGCCCCACGACTATCTCCAGCCCGACGCCCCAATTGTGGACTCAAACACGACCCCTATTTGGGTCCGAAACAAGGCCAATGCTTCGGCTTTGAGAGAGAGATTCCCTCATGCATAGTCATCCGAAAGTACATTCGATAAATAAACAAATAAAATATTAGATCTTGTTTTTTGTGACTCTCCTATCCAGGAGGCACGCTTTTCCTTTCCAGACTCGTGCGATTGGTGTTTCGCACTCCAGAATCGTAGGTCCAAATCAGATCCCCAAAGATACCCGACGTCTTCATCTCTGAATCGATGGCCCCGAATGTTTCGCCACGCCCACATTTTGGGAGGTGAAACCCACCGAACGCGTAACTCGGAACAACACCTGTGCTCAGAAAAAATGGGTGTGAAAGGCACAACGGACCTGTTTCTTCGATCCTTCAATCCCCTCCGGTCCGGTCCACTCTCTCCGATGCGGTACCGCGCCGATGCCTCTTTCGGCGTGGGCGCCTGGTGTTGGCCCTGCCGGACCTCGTGGGACATCGCACGGGTGCGGTTGGTTGGAAGGGAGCTGGGTTCCAAGCAGGAGAGGAACAGCCACCCGTCTGGAGGCTGGAGGCGATTAGAGGCGAAGTATGGAGAAGAGACCAGAGAACAGACAGCAAGGAAGGAGTGCTAAGCTGTTGCTAAGTTTTTTCTGGAGCGGAGAGTTGTCAGAGTTGTCCATGTGGTTTACCTTATCAGATTCTCTTGGGCAAAGATCAGCAATTGCAGAAAGGTGCACAGAAGCCGTGAGGGTTTCCGTTCAAGATTGTAACAGATTTGGTGATGGGGGCTATGGCTGTCTCACGAGGTTTCAGTCCAGGGGATGATCACTTCTTCCCATGACTTTTTCTGGAGCAGCAATGCAAAGCAAAGAGAAGTGGTTCTTGAGCGCCGGAAGACTAGAGTAATGAGTCGTTGCGGGCCCCACGTACTTCTTAGTCACGACCTATGCCGCGACAGAGAGTGGCGGCAGAGAGGTGAAGAAGAAGTGCTTCTCCTTCCGACCGACATTTTGGACGAACACAGAACACATGGGTTACCTGGATGGCCAGTAGACAAAAAGGAAGACGACTGTCCTTGATGAACAGGAGGGTGAACTCTATCGACCGACGTCTCCAGGTGTTCCGTGTTCGTCGCGGGGTCGGTCACCGGTCGCCGGGTCGTTCCTTGTGCGGGTTCCTTCGTGAGGGACGGTCGCTTTGGCACGTTCATCTGGTGTTCTTTTTGGGTAAGCAGTGGCCAGGCTTTTCAGCCAAAGAGAGGCGATTCTTTTTCATACCCAAGCAGACACCAATTCGAAGTCGTTGGCCAACTAGGAGTTTCTCTCCTGCGTTCGGGGTTCCGTGGTTTATCCGTGGTTACTACCCTTGGAAAAGGGCGTGACTTCGTGACCTTCCTTTGCACCTTTGCACATGGAAAGGCTTTGGGCAGCTCCGTTGTGTGGACGGATCGTTTCTGCAAAGCTACGACGACTTCGAACGCTTGCGTGAGAGGCCGAACTTGGAACGGGAGTTGGGATGGTCCCGGATTGGAGATGAGAGCTGTTCGCCCTTTTGTGGACATGCTATTTTGGGGCCTTCTCAACATTTGACTTGAGTCTCTAGAGCTGTCTTATAGGAGTTTGGAGTCTGTACTGGATGTACAGTAAGGTCTCATGAAGTCTCTATGTCTCACAGGACTTACTTGACATAGAGAAATACATTTATATAAGATACGTTGCTGCAGCCAAGAAGAGGAGCAGGATTTTTTTTTCATTTTTTCCATCGGCTTGCGATGTTTGGTGCACCTGCATCCTGCAACCCGAATCTACGTGTATATAGAATATATACATATAATATCATATATAATTAATATATTCGCTCTGGCCCGAAGCCCCCTTAAATGGCCGGCGGTGGGCGGTTTTCGGGGGTTCGGGTGGATGTTTGGTCTGGTGGATCTCCGTGGTTGAAGCGGAGGTCGAATGCAATAGACCTGAGATCTGGTTGACTGTTACGACATATATAGATTTGGCATGATTTGGCTGAGTCTTGGTTTGAGTGTGGTGAAAGTATTGGTTCATGTTGCGCAACATGCGAGCTGCCCTGCACAGCTAAGCCTCAGCCAAGGAACCCGTTTTTGCTGCGCTCTCCTCTCGCTAGTACTGATATGATATGATTCGGGTGGCCAGTGTGACAGCTCCAAGAAAATATGACTGACTGGTGCAAGCAGTGAGGAATGAGTGAGGAATGGATCCAAAGAAATCGATCACCAGTCATCATTCCGTCATTCTCCACCAGTCATATATCGGTGACACGGCCGTCCACGGCCGTCGAGGTTCTTCGCCGTCCCAAAAACGAGCCAGGTCAGATGAGCCTTTGCTGATCAGGCGAAGTGGTTTCGGCGACGAGCTATTCAGAGAGACGTCTTTTCCAGAGCACCGAAAAAAGAGCATCAGCGCTCAGTAATCCCCAAGAAGGTATGCTGAGCTGGGAGCTTTGGAAGAGAAATCACTTGATATATATATATATATATACACACACCTAGAGCCTGACTGACCTCTGTTTTGATAGGAAGTTCGACCCATATGACTTGGATCGTTGATCCTCGCTCCCGGGGTCACAGGCTCCAGGCTCCAGGCCGGGTCAAAGTACGGAGACTTTCTCTGAGACGTTCTCGGATCATCGGGGCCTTTTCGGTCCGACCGGACCTGTTGCAGTAGTCACGGGTGGGGTCTCCTTTGGTCGTCTACCTTGTCATTGGGTCAAGTCGCCCGGAGATCTCTTTGCCATGCCGAAACGGAGGTTCGATTCCAAAGGGGCGAGCAAAGGGGCCAGCTTGACCCGTGTTGTGATTCGAATGACAGGTGGCCATGGTTTTGCGGTGACGCATTTTTCTCTTGAGTTGAGGGCATGGCTGTCGATGCTGGCCCTTTTGTCCTCAAGCTCCTGGGTTCGGGGGCGCCGTGTGCCATGCCAGCCTGCAGCACTTGTGGGAGGATCTTCTTCGTTGATCCTTCCGGGTGTTGCAGGGGCTGCATCGCTCTAAGGAGGCTGGCTGGCGAGCTGAGGTTTGTCCCTCTTGGGGAGCTGGACGCGAGCTTGACGGTCTACCTGCTCGAGACCTGCCTGCATACAGTTGAGTATTTGAGGGACGTTGCGCACGCCCAAGCAGAGAGGGCAGAGCAGGCAAGGCAGGGCAGGACAGCTCCAGGACTGGGCCTTTCTAGCAACAACAGGTCCGGGACAGAGGGAACCTCAGCCAGCACGCACACGGCTGCCGGAGGAGAGCACGAGAGGCATCGAGGAGACCGCGAGAGGCCAGCAGAGGAGAGGCCGAGGAAGAAGGAGGAGCGAGGAGATGATGGGCGAGAGCGCAAGAGAAGGCGCAGAGGCTGAGGAAGAAGGTTACGGCGAGTTCGACATTGCTGACACGGTAAGATGGTCCATGATGCAGGTTCAGGCTGGGACCATAGCCGCTGTGCCCCTGAGAGTCGACGACAAGGAGGTGGTTTGTCCACTGTTCATCACGAAAAGGTGGGTGGACATCGATGGGAGCGTTTCGGCCGAGTACGTCTCGCTAGGTACACTCGACCCACAGGTCTCCCGGAAGGTCACCCAGCTCTCCAAGACCCTTGGTTGGGTCCACTTTTGCAACTCCCCGTCCTGTCAGGTACCAGGAAACTATTTGAGTCATGTTCAACGTGTGGCCCTGTCGCGAGGAGACGCCATGGATCGGACACAGCTTGGACACACAGGACTTCGACGTTGGGTGCAACTCGTCTGGGAGCATTTAGGTTTAGATGTGAGTTCAACCCCAGAGGCTGCAGAGGAGTCCACGTCCGGAGAACGAGGACCCAGGCGAGAGCGGAGAGGGGCCCTGAGAGGAGTTGGCAAGAGAAGAGGAGGCAGCGCAGAGGAGACAGAGGATGCAGAAGGCCTGCAGGCAGAGAGAGGCCGAGAGAGAGGGCTTGGCACGGAGGCGCATGCTTCAAGGAGAGTTTCGTTTGCCGCTTCCCCGCTGTTCATGGACCTGGAGGAGAATGCCGGCGCAGAGGAGGAGCAGCTGAGGAAGAGGCAGAGGAAGGAGCAAGGCAGAGAGGCCCGAGGCGCAGAGCAGAGAAAGGCTGTAGGAGTTGGAGAGGCGTTGAAGGATCTGAGGAAGGAGCTCACCGAGCAGAGCGCGAGAGACCTGAGGCGGGAGGAGGAGCCTGGTACCGGGCCTATATCAAAGCCAAAGACATCAAGCTCTGCAGCGGACATGGGTGGAAGAAAGAGCCCGGGACCCTTGACCCTGGGGTTGGAACCACCATCCTCCAAGGTATCAGCCATCCTGGAAGCCGAGTCCGAGGTGCCAAGAGGAGGTTCTTCGAGTGGCAAGAGAGCCAAGAGCCCGCAAGAGGAGTTGGCAGCTGCAGCTGCTACATCTTCGGGGAGCGGTGCTGGTGCGCAAGGGTCAAGGAAGCGCGACAAGAAGAAGAAGAAGAAAGGAAAGGGAGACAAGATCCTGCGTGCTCTGAAGGGTGCATTGATGAGCAAGAAAAAGAAGAAGAAGAAGAAGGAGGACAGAGGCAGTCGAGAAGGAGGCGGGGGCCCGCCGGACAGCGACGGAGACAGCGACCCTTCAGGGAGCTCCAGTTCCGAGGATTCAGAGGACGAGGAGTCAAGCTCTTCAGAGGAGAGGTTCACGAGGAAGTTCAAGGCGCCGCTGAAACGAAAAGCGGGGAAGAAACCAGGCAGTGTGGCAGAGCTATTGTTGACCCAGATCGCCCAACAGCTGCAGGAGCTTCATGTGGAGAGAGATCAACTCCTCACTGCAGGACCACGGGTGACAAGCTACTGGCAGATCACCCTGCGACCTCGACACGGTGCCTTCCTGCCAGCCATGCGAGAGCTATATCTGCTCGGAAGCGCCATCGATCGAATCAGGTCAGGCCACGTCCTCTCAGCGCTCGACTATTTGGCCGGTCGCTTCATGGCCGTGGAATCGGCCATATCCGAGGGCTGGGCTATGGCCCGTTTCCTCGAGGTTTGCGCACCGGAGGAGGAGTTGGTGGCACCGGCAGAACTTCAACTTCAAGCCCGCAAACATGGACAGTTGATAGCCCGAGCTCATGGAGCAGAAGGAAAAGGGAAAGGACAAGGAGGCGGCAGACCCTGGGCGCCCTATGGCGGAGGTGGAGCTCCGTGGCGCTGGGCAAAGGGAGAGAAAGGCAAGAAAGGAGGAAAAGAGAAGAACCAGAAGGGCTACAAAGATGGCAAGAAGACCAAGGCAGGGAAGGACGCCCCGAAAGGGGACCACGAGGAGGAGAAGTGAGGGCGCCAAAGCGGCGCAAGCGAGATAATTCGGATAAGGAGTGCATGACACCTAAGGCTGAGAGAGGCTTGGGAGACGACAGAGGCGAGGACAGAGGCTGCACTGTGAGAGTGATTTCAAGAGCCCCTGAGACTGGCCCTACAGTGGCTGTTGATCCGAAGCCCCAGCTCGGCCTTGAGGAGCCAGACCCATGCAAGGGTGTGGGTCGCTATGATGGTATGAGCACAGGACAGAAGCCAGAGGATGGTTTGAGGATGCCAGAGAGGATCATAGAGGATGGCAGCAGAGGAGAGAAGGTTGCTGACCGCCTGTGCCAGGTCACCTCCCTGAAGACTTTAGGACTGGGCCTGGCTTGGATCTTGTTTGAGGGCATCCGCTCCGGGCTATGCAAGGCATGGCTATGGAAGAACCTCGGCCGTTTCCTGAAAAATAGTGGCTGCGAGCAGCTTGGGAAGAGGCATCGTTCGCTTTTTCCCTTCCCTTTCGTTTGGAGTCGTCTGGAGGTGAAGCTTCGAGGGTCGTTGTTCGATGATATTTTCTTCGAAACTTTTTGGGAGCCGGCCGATTACGTGGATTCGTGGGTCCTCCTTTCAGTGAAGTTCTGTCAGCACCTTCATGGGGGTGACCTGGGCTTTAGGAAGGGGAACCTGCAAAAGGCACAAGTTGAATGCCTTAGGTGCATCTCGAGGCAAGTTGAGGTTATGTTAAGAGATGATCATGGTCACCCTACCTGGGGGGTAGCAGAAATCAAAGAGGAGCTAGCTAGTAAGGAGATAGGCTATGCAGGTGAGGAGATAGGCAAACTGGAAAAGTTAAGTGTTGAGCAGATCGCCCCTTCTCTCCCCTCGGCTGAACGTGGTGCTTCGATCCGATTGGAAGACTGGCTGACAGATTCGACACGTGAATTGCTTCGTCATCCCGAGAGATTGAAGTTGCAAGACCATGGACAAGACCTGCCGAACCTGAAGGGGCGTGTTCATATCAAGGAGGGCGAGAGGTTTGAAGTGGCGAAGCTACTCGTGGCTCGAAGAGTGTGCGTGTGGCGAAGAAGCACTGACACCCTAACTTTTCGAGGTATGCCTGTTAGGAACGGATTGTTTGGAGTTGCTAAACCGGGCAAAACCGTGAACGGAAAACCGATTCTGCGTGTTATCATGAACCTTGTTCCAACAAACAGCCTCTTCAGAGTTATCGAGGGCTCGGTCCATAGACTTCCTTCCATCACACAGTGGGGAACTATTTTTGTAGGAGAAGGAGAGAAGATTGAAACCAGCCAAGCGGACATTTCCTCTGCCTTTTACCTTTTCCGTCTCCCTCCTATTTGGCAATGCATCCTCCCGTTCAACATTGAGACGAATGGCAAGCAGCTGGGACCAGATTTTCTTCCTGATGAAAAGTATGTGCTGTGCGCCAATGTCCTGCCCATGGGATGGCATAGTGCCGTCGGTCTCATGGAAGAAGCTGCTGAAAGGCTGTTGCTAGACTGGTTTATCCTGCTCCAATATAGTCAACCGAGTGAGTAAGCTGCCGAAGGGCTTCACGGAGTTGATGGAGGATGCAAAGCGGGAAGCTGAACCCTTTTGGCATATTTATTTGGACAACTTTGCCGCAGGACAGCGTGTGGCGGGTCCACATGAAGAGACCTTAGGAGGCCAACTTCACAGAACTGCAGAGGCAGGCTGGAATGCTAGGGGTGTGGTCACGGCTGCAGCCAAAAGCACCCACCGTGCCACTGAGGCGACTGAGCTGGGCGCAAAGATTCATGGAGAGGACGGCTGGCTAGGAGTCGACACACACCGGCTTCTGAAAGTGGTCAAGCTCAGCTTGTGGCTTGCATTTCGCCCGAACGTGAGGGCAAAGACTCTGCAAATCACTATGGGACGGTGGATGCATGTGTTGCAGTTTCGTCGACCGGCCATGTCTCACTTCGTAGCCGTTTGGGACTTTTTCTCATTGGGCAAACGTAGACGGGAATGGCAAGCCAGGTTTGAGTTGCTCACTGCCTGTTTTGGTGCTCTCCTCTTCCACACTGACCTCACCACACGGCCTTGCGGAACAGTTGGAGCAAGTGATTCATCCATGAAGGGGGGCGCTGTGGGGATGAGCACTGGACTGACTGACCTTGGACGTGACTTCCTTAATTATGAAGCTGATCCGGAACGTCAAGGGCCTACTATACCAATCTTAGTTATTTCCTGCTTCGATGGTATTGGGGGGTGCATGAGAGCATATAATGTGGCTGGTGTTCGACCTCAACTCTACGTAAGCATCGAGATCCACCGACCAGCACGCCGCGTGAGCTCGCGCCGCTGGCCGGAGATAGTTGAGGTGGATGATGTCACCCAGGTTTCGGAAGATGACATCAGACAGTGGGTCACTCGAGCAGGAGCCATAGAGCAGATTCACCTGTGGGGTGGCTTCCCCTGCAAGGATCTGAGCAGCGCCAAACACAGGAGGGCAAACCTAAAAGGTGAACACTCTGGGTTGTTCTACGAGCTCAAGCGAATTTGGGGATTGGTGCGCTCTGTGGGGAATCACCTCAAGACGCTGATCTTCGCAGAGAACGTATGCTCCATGGATAAAGAGGCTCGTGACTTGATCTCCTGGGAGTTGGGCCTCTGGCCACTGCGAGTGGACAGTGAAGCACTGGTCCCACTCAGCCGACCACGCTTCGTGTGGACAAACATGGAGCCCACGGACACGGACAGCATGTGGAGAGAGGACAAAGAAGGGTTCACGCAAGTGCACTTCGTTTGTGACGCTGAGTGGCCCACCGATTGGATTCAACCTGGTTGCACCCAATATAGAGGTCCAGTAGCCTACCCCACATGTATGAGAGCCATCCCCAGGGACAAACCTCCTGAGCGCCCAGTAGGAGTGCACCGGTGTACCGCAGACGAGCTCATGCGTTGGCGACAGGACCAGTTCCGGTTCCCCCCTTATCAATATAAGGACGCCTATATGATCGAGGACACCATCTCAGGTAGTCTCAGGTACCTAGTCGCCACCGAAAGAGAACAGTTGCTTGGATACGGCTGGGGGCATACGCTCCCGGCCATGTCAGCTTCAGCAGCTAAATCCACTAAACGTGGGTATGAGGACGAGAGACTCTCTTTGTTGGGGGACAGCTTCCCTGTGAACACCTTCTGGTATTTTAGTGCTCAAGCATGCCAACAATGGGTTCCCCTGCAAACTGCACAACATTACCGAGATCGACTAGGACTTTGGCCGGGCGCTTGCACTCATATACAGAGGCTCACACCAATCGGTACCACCCGTCCGTTCGGATCGACGTGGGATGAGTGTTGGGAGACTGAGAGAGAGGAGGAGTCGCTGGTTCGTCAGTTGGCCCGGAGGACCACCCATACCGGGAGCGATATTAGGATAAGTACAGGAATCCCCACATGTCCTAAAGTTTACCCTCGGCAAGCTATCCCCTCAGACCTCTGGGAGTGGAAAATCACCCTAGCACGAAAATGGGATCGCCACGAGCACATCAATTGTTTGGAACTTCGAAGCATACTGTTGGCCTTGCAGTGGCGACTAGAGAGGGGTAAGCTTGGCAACATGCGCCTGTTACAGTTGAGCGACAGCGCAGTGAGCATAAGTATCCTCTGCAAGGGGAGAACCTCCAGCAAGGCACTACAACACGTAGTCCGGAAGATCGGTGCACTGGTCTTGATGGCCAACGCCATGGTGATGTACTGTCACGTCGACAGTATGAACAACCCCACGGATGATGCCTCCCGGAGTTAGACAGAGGCTGAAGAGGAGAAACACTGAGGAGAGAAGAGAAGAGAGGCGAGGCCTCTCCCTTAGAGAGCTGGCTGTCAAGCAGGCAACAATCCGCAGGTACAAGAAGGCTCTTGTGAAGGGTCTCAATGCCTGGGACTTCACCACCAACTTTTCCTCCATTGCCATGCTAGATCTTGATATCGCAGAGTATATTGAATATGCATTTGAGGAGGGGGAGTCAATAGGACACATCAGTGACTTCCTCTGCGGACTTCAGATGTTTGTTCCTGTCCTGCGCCGACGTCTCAGTCAAGCATGGCACATGTTTAAGGTATGGAAGAAGGTTGAGAGGAACCTCCAGGCGACCCCGTTGCCGCCAAATCTCCTCCGTGCAATGATGGGTTACTGCCTTAAAAGCGGTGCTCTAGACTTTCTACTACTCCTTTGTTTGGGCTACTTCGCCCTTCTCCGGACGGGGGAACTCATGACCTTAAGATGCAAGCACCTCCAACTTTCATCTGGGTGTGCCCTGGTCTATTTAGCTGAAACAAAGACAGGAAATCGTGAAAATCGTCAAGAGCACGTTGTCATTAGGCAGCCACAAGCCCTTGCGGTCATAAAGGCCTTTCTCCGGACGCGTGGTGAAGAGGACGCATATATTTGGCAGCTTTCTTCCCAAAAGTTTCGAGAGAGCTTCTCCCTCCTGCTTGATCACTTCAACGTAGGAGGCCTGGGGTTCAGGCCCTACAGCTTGAGGAGGGGAGGGGCAACCTCCCTCTACCGGCAGGGATGGCCGACCGAAAACATCCTGATCCTCGGTCGGTGGAAGAGCACGGCAAGTGCTCGAACCTATATAGATGATGGTCTCACCCAACAAGCTTCACTTCAGTTTTCATCTAAAGTGCTGGCAAAAATAGCCTGTTTCACGAAACACTTTCCGGAATTCCTCTAAATCACCGTTGGCGAGTGACCGTTAAACGGTCAGGGAGCGTGGTGAGAGTGATCGTTTCTTTTGTTTCATCAAAGATATATGGTCAA